TAAAATTGAGTTTATTGATCAAACATAAATCTAAAGTAAAACTGATCATTCAGTTTACAAAGTTAGCGTCTACTGACTAAGACAATTCAGATATATGTTAGTGTTCAAGACAGTTCATGTTTTTAATTACATAACGTAAATATATTAAAGGAGGTCAGATCAAAAAATATTATCAAATCTGTATCTGTTAAGCTTTCCCGTAGACGACTAAAACATGTGCTTGATGACCATTCACGTTTCATTGTTTGAGGTTGCATATTATTTAACATCTTACTTAATGACATTTTCTTATGTTATCTGTTCTTTCAAATATACACGTTCTAGTAATTTTATTCTATCTTGAATCTTTGGTTGGTATGTACGTGTTTAGATTACTAAGTGAAGCGGTTTACAGCGAACCACTTTGTGAACACTTATGATCACTAACTTGTGATTATATCAAGGTCATCAAAAGAAGTTATGACGAAATTTCAACATCATGTGAAAATATCAATATAAGCTACTTTTACATTTGATTAAAAGAAAGTCAGTGGATAACGTTCTTTATCTATTTTTGTGAACTACTGAAACCATGAGGTAATTTTGAGCAGAGAACATAAAATAAGCCTCAACGGTAGAATTAGTGTTTGTAGTTGGATTTTCTACCGTAGCAGTTCAATTCGATTCCAATAGACGTATGCTGAACACACCTTCCCGTATTCGAATATCAAAACACAATAATTCTAGGAGAAAGTGGCCTAACGATTTTTACGTCTTCCAATTCGAAATTACTCTAATGTAGGAATGAAAATGTGTTTGAAATAATCAGCGAATAAGTTTGATGGTTATTCAGCCATGAGAACACTGTAGAATCTTTTTTGAATGTTTTGTTTTTTGGAAAATCCCTCCATGTTTATATATTTTTGTTATGACATGACGGACTCTTTCTGTTGACATTTTGGTATTTTATTTGATTCCATTTTGAGATTTTATCATTGTATATTGTTATTATTTCTATATTTTGTACTTATATTGAAGTTTTTATGTTTGCTTCTGAACTGTACACATGTTGTTTAAATTTGATATAATATGGCTACAGCCACATTTTTGGATTTGATATCGTCGCAGTATACGAGTTTCACCTAGTCTCTGGAACCTGGATACTCATCATTTTTATTAAACATATTTAGAATCCTAGCGCAAACATCACTTTTTACTTTCTGACAACCGTGAATGATTCACAAGTAGGTTTTCCAAGCCTAAGTGTATTTTCTGTATTATATTCCATCAAAGTACTGAAAGATTTCCCGTGCATCAAACCTCGTTATTCACAACAATTAAATAAGCTAAATTTGAAGCTGACACTTAAGCATCTTGAATAAACGAACAAAACGAACGAAAGTCTTGCAACTTATAATCCATTAACTTCTTTTATAAAACTTGAAACTGCTATTTAATAAATACAGAATATAAAATAATTATTGTTTTTCTAGTCATAAACTGAATAATCATAAAATATTCAGGCTAATCCTTGATCAACTTCAAGAATTTTCATTCTTTCAACGTGGTATACAAATTCATGCATTTTATGGAGTGACAGAACAGGAACAGTCTTCCTTTTTGGTCGCAAGAATAGAAAAAACTCCAAACTGTTACCATTTTATTGAATTTAGAATAAAGTGAGAAATGTGTTCCCAAATTTATAATTTAAATTATGCTAGAAAAATCTTTCACCAACATAATCATGACGATACTATAATCATCAAATATGATCATTGTCTAATTTCCATGGTTGTAAGCGACCATTTTATGTGATGAATCTGTTCACTTAACTTAATCTATTCATTTGCATTTCAATTTTTAACCGAAGTAGAAATATGTAACCTTTAGGAAAACAACTAGATACACTTGTCATTAACATTAGTCCATATTAATTCATTTAAATTCAACAAAAACTGTACTTACCAAATGAATGTTAATCCGGTACTACCAGGTCCAGTTTGTTGCATAATCTTTACAATCCCTAAACGTGTTAGTGTAGGTGTGTTTAATATCAGTGTAGAAAACACCGTGGAAAATACTGTAATTGAACTTATGAAACTATAAAACAAAGGAAAGTAACGGGAAATTTTTCGTAGAAAAACTTTTGAATACAATGATATTTTAGAGTGGTAACATAAGTTTTCCCCTACTACAATATACTTTTGAACATTGGTATACAGTGACGGTTTCATACAACACTTTTCAAATTTTGTCAAATGCCTTTTCAAATCTCATTTTACATATTTTATGTTACATAATACGTTATTAAAACTCTGAGCTAGCTTTCTTCTAGGCCACGGAAATTCGGAGAACTCTAAAAATCTATTGAATTCTCTTTAAGTGTTGGTTTTGCGTGGATGAATAGTCTTACATATTATCAAATTACAAAAATTTATTCCTGCTCTCAAAATTAACAAAATATGAAGAATTCAGATTTATTGCAAATATAATCTAATAACAAGATGATAGTGTTTTATTTTTTTTATAATTCTCAACGATTTGAACAACTAGTTTCCATTCTCTAAGCGGCCATTTTTATGAATTTAAAATATCAAAATAACTTTCATTTCTGGTCACTGAAATCGAGTCGTACATTTGGAAATTAAACAAATACTCTAGTTCCATAAGTTTCATTCTTAAGTGATATAATTTAGGGGTTTTTAGGGCTAAATTATGTATTCTAAACTCACAATGAACAACATTTTCTAAAGTTGAACGCAACAGTTTAATTTGCTGGTATTCAAATGTGTTCGGAGAATCCCTCAAATTTCCTTCATGTCTAAGTTAAAAGTGAAGAGTATTATTTCAAGAAAAAAGTGCTAAAAACCAATCACTTGTCTCAAGTTAATGTAGACTAAATAATCCTTCAGAGAATCATCTTTTGAGAAAATGAAACTTGAAAGTCCTTATACTGGAGTTTTATCTCAGGCGAAATTAATGCATACAGTGGTCTATTCCAATGTAATTTTTACATGAATAATTAGATAACAAGTAAACTATCAATAGATCGTTACTTTCATACAAGCTGAAACACACTTACCTGACTAAATTATTTAACATTGGAATAATTGTACCATAACGTACCGCTCCTCGTTGCCTACTCATAAATGCTGCAAATGTAGCTAATGCTCCAATACCAGCACCCGTATCAAAAGCATTCTGACTTGCCGCAGCAATCCACATTTCAGGATCTTTTAAACTACCTGAATGAAATGTAATGAGACGAATTTAACTAATGGTGTGGGGTAATAACTAACATTAAACAAACAGTGGTTAGAAATATGACAGTTAAATTTATTATATCTGAAGCTAGAAACGTATTCCGTTTTTAATATATCTTTCACCCAGTTCAACGAGAATATTGTCCAGTGATATCAATATTTGTAGATATGAGAATTTATTTTACCACATAAGCGAATCATGATGATAAACGACAATTTTAAACAAGCAATAGTTAAAATCTCAGATTGTCATTGGAAAAGATAAAGAAAAGTTAGCTTTTTGCTAACGAAACTACACTTGAGTTACTGGATAAAAAGAGACATTTTATGCTTGCAATCAGCTAGGTGAAAATCTATTGTATCCATAGGAAAGCAAGCAGATGGGACAGGTATAGGTCATGAAGGTCCAATTTATCGGAACTATTACAAATGATGCACGTAAAGCGGTCATCCGTTGACAAGACGAACACAGGGTCAGTCTGTTCAACCCTATAAGTCCTGTTGAGGTTAAGTCATACATCAAATGGATTACCGTATGTAACTTGTCATGACGTCTTGATGATGGTTGAGGTGAAAATTAAAGATAATTTTAAAAATTACATACTTCCAACCTGTTGTCCAACATACTTTTCTGGATTTATTCAAAGAACGTAGCTTTTACTTTGATTATTACTCAGGCCATGCTGAAAAATGCTTATTACCTTTCTGCACATTCTTAGTCAAATTTATTTTCAGGTTTTTTAAACTTATTTGATCGTTCGAAAATATCCTAATTACTGTTCGACAATCGAAAACAAAACATAATGCGTCATTCACTCTTCCAGATAGTGTTGATAACAGGATCACAGATTGAAGTGAAAATATCATAGCTCAACACACCATCTCAAATAATTTATAAACGATTTCTTAGTTTGTTGAAAACGTCAACTAAATCAGCTGATTAATGCATCGTCTTCACTGAACATATATGAGAGCAGTTTAACTGTTGAAGGTACAACTGTACAGAAATATATACCTGACAATTTTCAGATAAACTTGACACTTTTAAACTTTTTAAAAAGAACTACCTATTCGCAGAACAATTATTTTATTTCATTTTCTCCATCGGTAGCTCTGTTTAACTATTAATCATATAGGATACAGTTTGAGACATTCATATTAATTATATTAAACAGCTTTTTGGCTCTTAACCACAAAATCATTGAGCTAACACACTAAGACTATATTAGTTATCAGACAGACTATATTTTTATAGACTGTTATTTATATAGACTATTATGTAACAACTTACTCCATGTAGGTGTGAATAGGAATTTTATTCCTACTTCTGCATATGTTCGCGTCAGCGACCACCCAAATGTAAACATGACTATTATTAGTAGAAAAGGAACAAGTATATTGTTTGCTTTTTCAATCCATTTTATGCCGCCAAATATACAAGCTGCTGCCATAATTACACTCAAACATTGTGTTAGAACAGGCCAATATGAATCCTGAAGAAAAATCGATTAGTGTTAATCAAGAACAATTCTAATAATAATTTGTCACTACCTATTTTAACTAATATGAAGGTGGATTTTGGCAACGTGTTTATTTAATTCATAGATATATGGAGCTAATATGATGTCTCAGTAAGCTCCATATATCTATGAATTAAATAAACACGTTGCCAAAATCCACCTTCATATTAGTTAAAATAGGTAGTGACAAATTATTATTAGAATTGTTCTTGATTAACACTAATCGATTTTTCTTCAGGATTCATATTGGCCTGTTCTAACACAATGTTTGAGTGTAATTATGGCAGCAGCTTGTATATTTGGCGGCATAAAATGGATTGAAAAAGCAAACAATATACTTGTTCCTTTTCTACTAATAATAGTCATGTTTACATTTGGGTGGTCGCTGACGCGAACATATGCAGAAGTAGGAATAAAATTCCTATTCACACCTACATGGAGTAAGTTGTTACATAATAGTCTATATAAATAACAGTCTATAAAAATATAGTCTGTCTGATAACTAATATAGTCTTAGTGTGTTAGCTCAATGATTTTGTGGTTAAGAGCCAAAAAGCTGTTTAATATAATTAATATGAATGTCTCAAACTGTATCCTATATGATTAATAGTTAAACAGAGCTACCGATGGAGAAAATGAAATAAAATAATTGTTCTGCGAATAGGTAGTTCTTTTTAAAAAGTTTAAAAGTGTCAAGTTTATCTGAAAATTGTCAGGTATATATTTCTGTACAGTTGTACCTTCAACAGTTAAACTGCTCTCATATATGTTCAGTGAAGACGATGCATTAATCAGCTGATTTAGTTGACGTTTTCAACAAACTAAGAAATCGTTTATAAATTATTTGAGATGGTGTGTTGAGCTATGATATTTTCACTTCAATCTGTGATCCTGTTATCAACACTATCTGGAAGAGTGAATGACGCATTATGTTTTGTTTTCGATTGTCGAACAGTAATTAGGATATTTTCGAACGATCAAATAAGTTTAAAAAACCTGAAAATAAATTTGACTAAGAATGTGCAGAAAGGTAATAAGCATTTTTCAGCATGGCCTGAGTAATAATCAAAGTAAAAGCTACGTTCTTTGAATAAATCCAGAAAAGTATGTTGGACAACAGGTTGGAAGTATGTAATTTTTAAAATTATCTTTAATTTTCACCTCAACCATCATCAAGACGTCATGACAAGTTACATACGGTAATCCATTTGATGTATGACTTAACCTCAACAGGACTTATAGGGTTGAACAGACTGACCCTGTGTTCGTCTTGTCAACGGATGACCGCTTTACGTGCATCATTTGTAATAGTTCCGATAAATTGGACCTTCATGACCTATACCTGTCCCATCTGCTTGCTTTCCTATGGATACAATAGATTTTCACCTAGCTGATTGCAAGCATAAAATGTCTCTTTTTATCCAGTAACTCAAGTGTAGTTTCGTTAGCAAAAAGCTAACTTTTCTTTATCTTTTCCAATGACAATCTGAGATTTTAACTATTGCTTGTTTAAAATTGTCGTTTATCATCATGATTCGCTTATGTGGTAAAATAAATTCTCATATCTACAAATATTGATATCACTGGACAATATTCTCGTTGAACTGGGTGAAAGATATATTAAAAACGGAATACGTTTCTAGCTTCAGATATAATAAATTTAACTGTCATATTTCTAACCACTGTTTGTTTAATGTTAGTTATTACCCCACACCATTAGTTAAATTCGTCTCATTACATTTCATTCAGGTAGTTTAAAAGATCCTGAAATGTGGATTGCTGCGGCAAGTCAGAATGCTTTTGATACGGGTGCTGGTATTGGAGCATTAGCTACATTTGCAGCATTTATGAGTAGGCAACGAGGAGCGGTACGTTATGGTACAATTATTCCAATGTTAAATAATTTAGTCAGGTAAGTGTGTTTCAGCTTGTATGAAAGTAACGATCTATTGATAGTTTACTTGTTATCTAATTATTCATGTAAAAATTACATTGGAATAGACCACTGTATGCATTAATTTCGCCTGAGATAAAACTCCAGTATAAGGACTTTCAAGTTTCATTTTCTCAAAAGATGATTCTCTGAAGGATTATTTAGTCTACATTAACTTGAGACAAGTGATTGGTTTTTAGCACTTTTTTCTTGAAATAATACTCTTCACTTTTAACTTAGACATGAAGGAAATTTGAGGGATTCTCCGAACACATTTGAATACCAGCAAATTAAACTGTTGCGTTCAACTTTAGAAAATGTTGTTCATTGTGAGTTTAGAATACATAATTTAGCCCTAAAAACCCCTAAATTATATCACTTAAGAATGAAACTTATGGAACTAGAGTATTTGTTTAATTTCCAAATGTACGACTCGATTTCAGTGACCAGAAATGAAAGTTATTTTGATATTTTAAATTCATAAAAATGGCCGCTTAGAGAATGGAAACTAGTTGTTCAAATCGTTGAGAATTATAAAAAAAATAAAACACTATCATCTTGTTATTAGATTATATTTGCAATAAATCTGAATTCTTCATATTTTGTTAATTTTGAGAGCAGGAATAAATTTTTGTAATTTGATAATATGTAAGACTATTCATCCACGCAAAACCAACACTTAAAGAGAATTCAATAGATTTTTAGAGTTCTCCGAATTTCCGTGGCCTAGAAGAAAGCTAGCTCAGAGTTTTAATAACGTATTATGTAACATAAAATATGTAAAATGAGATTTGAAAAGGCATTTGACAAAATTTGAAAAGTGTTGTATGAAACCGTCACTGTATACCAATGTTCAAAAGTATATTGTAGTAGGGGAAAACTTATGTTACCACTCTAAAATATCATTGTATTCAAAAGTTTTTCTACGAAAAATTTCCCGTTACTTTCCTTTGTTTTATAGTTTCATAAGTTCAATTACAGTATTTTCCACGGTGTTTTCTACACTGATATTAAACACACCTACACTAACACGTTTAGGGATTGTAAAGATTATGCAACAAACTGGACCTGGTAGTACCGGATTAACATTCATTTGGTAAGTACAGTTTTTGTTGAATTTAAATGAATTAATATGGACTAATGTTAATGACAAGTGTATCTAGTTGTTTTCCTAAAGGTTACATATTTCTACTTCGGTTAAAAATTGAAATGCAAATGAATAGATTAAGTTAAGTGAACAGATTCATCACATAAAATGGTCGCTTACAACCATGGAAATTAGACAATGATCATATTTGATGATTATAGTATCGTCATGATTATGTTGGTGAAAGATTTTTCTAGCATAATTTAAATTATAAATTTGGGAACACATTTCTCACTTTATTCTAAATTCAATAAAATGGTAACAGTTTGGAGTTTTTTCTATTCTTGCGACCAAAAAGGAAGACTGTTCCTGTTCTGTCACTCCATAAAATGCATGAATTTGTATACCACGTTGAAAGAATGAAAATTCTTGAAGTTGATCAAGGATTAGCCTGAATATTTTATGATTATTCAGTTTATGACTAGAAAAACAATAATTATTTTATATTCTGTATTTATTAAATAGCAGTTTCAAGTTTTATAAAAGAAGTTAATGGATTATAAGTTGCAAGACTTTCGTTCGTTTTGTTCGTTTATTCAAGATGCTTAAGTGTCAGCTTCAAATTTAGCTTATTTAATTGTTGTGAATAACGAGGTTTGATGCACGGGAAATCTTTCAGTACTTTGATGGAATATAATACAGAAAATACACTTAGGCTTGGAAAACCTACTTGTGAATCATTCACGGTTGTCAGAAAGTAAAAAGTGATGTTTGCGCTAGGATTCTAAATATGTTTAATAAAAATGATGAGTATCCAGGTTCCAGAGACTAGGTGAAACTCGTTTACTGCGACGATATCAAATCCAAAAATGTGGCTGTAGCCATATTATATCAAATTTAAACAACATGTGTACAGTTCAGAAGCAAACATAAAAACTTCAATATAAGTACAAAATATAGAAATAATAACAATATACAATGATAAAATCTCAAAATGGAATCAAATAAAATACCAAAATGTCAACAGAAAGAGTCCGTCATGTCATAACAAAAATATATAAACATGGAGGGATTTTCCAAAAAACAAAACATTCAAAAAAGATTCTACAGTGTTCTCATGGCTGAATAACCATCAAACTTATTCGCTGATTATTTCAAACACATTTTCATTCCTACATTAGAGTAATTTCGAATTGGAAGACGTAAAAATCGTTAGGCCACTTTCTCCTAGAATTATTGTGTTTTGATATTCGAATACGGTAAGGTGTGTTCAGCATACGTCTATTTGAATCGAATCGAACTGCTACGGTAGATAATCCAACTACAAACACTAATTCTACCGTTGAGGCTTATTTTATGTTCTCTGCTCAAAATTACCTCATGGTTTCAGTAGTTCACAAAAATAGATAAAGAACGTTATCCACTGACTTTCTTTTAATCAAATGTAAAAGTAGCTTATATTGATATTTTCACATGATGTTGAAATTTCGTCATAACTTCTTTTGATGACCTTGATATAATCACAAGTTAGTGATCATAAGTGTTCACAAAGTGGTTCGCTGTAAACCGCTTCACTTAGTAATCTAAACACGTACATACCAACCAAAGATTCAAGATAGAATAAAATTACTAGAACGTGTATATTTGAAAGAACAGATAACATAAGAAAATGTCATTAAGTAAGATGTTAAATAATATGCAACCTCAAACAATGAAACGTGAATGGTCATCAAGCACATGTTTTAGTCGTCTACGGGAAAGCTTAACAGATACAGATTTGATAATATTTTTTGATCTGACCTCCTTTAATATATTTACGTTATGTAATTAAAAACATGAACTGTCTTGAACACTAACATATATCTGAATTGTCTTAGTCAGTAGACGCTAACTTTGTAAACTGAATGATCAGTTTTACTTTAGATTTATGTTTGATCAATAAACTCAATTTTACGGTAGAAAAAAAGAAGAAACTTTTGAACTGTGCATGAATCTTAATTAAGTCATACCATCATCATTTCAAGTAAAACACAAGGCAGTTGAAACATTTGATAAAAAACAATTTTGTAAATCACTCTACAAAATTATTTGACCTTTAGAGAATCTTGTTGTAACATAAATATCATGATTATCAGTAGTCTAATTTATTCTAATTCTTAATTAATAAATTATTCATTGAATACAAACCGATCTCGTGCACAATTTTACAACCTATGGAGTTTCCCATTTCACTACATTAAAATATCAGAATTCTAATAAGTAATGAGATATTGAGTCCTACGTAGTGATGATGTATTCCGCTCAATGTAAATTTCGGTCTAATTTATGAATAACTGAAGACATCACTACATCAGTGAACGAGATTTACTATTGATTCATTGCACTAATACGCTAATGTATCACTGCTATAAAATTGATTGTAATAGTTTGAGTAAAATTTACAAAACTATAATTCAATATAATTAAAATCTATTTCAATAGGTTTCCAGTTTTATTTGAAAGTTTGGGCGTCTTCGGAAGAATATTGTGTCTATTATTTTTTGTCTGTCTCACAGTTGCTGGTTTGAGCACTACTATTTCAGATTTAGAAGTTTATACAATGGTACTAGATGACTGTGGTGGTAAGATAAAATTTATTTTATTTTATTTCGCAATAGCTTTCGTCATGTGAGTATATTTCTCTTAGTTAAGCTTAAGTTTTCGGATTGTTGTCTGTTGTTTTACTGACTGAAGTTTTCATTTTAGTTTATTATGTTTACGCTAAGTACATAAGCATAAGAAACAGTTGATTACCGATAGTAATAATTTCATTTAGTCAATAATTGTAATTCTTTCACTCAGAAAACATTTGAAGTAAGTTTTATCTGTAAGTGTCTGTACACTTTTATGGTCATGGTAAAAAAAATACTACAAGTAATAAACTAGACTGCTAAAACTAATATATAGTAGTAACTGAAGGTGTAATAATACTTGAAGGAGAATTGATTAACGGAAATAAATTGCCAAAAACAAAAAGATATTTTTAATCAGCATTCATTGTGTTAATTCTTCTAGTCCGGTTCGATTATGATATCTTGTGCATAAGTTTAGAAGAGTTTCGAAATCCCTTTCTAAAGATTTGATTAACCTAGGATAGATAGAGTTTTCTTTTTTATTTACAGAGACGAACGACTTTGTTATTTGAAAGTAGATTTTAGTCCTGAAAACATAATGAAATAATACTGTTCTAAATTAAGTGGTTTATGTGATACGCTCAGTAAAAACAGATAAACACTTCAAAACATGAGCAAACATATCGTCACAAAGATAAATATAGACTTTATTTGAACAGTTAATTAGAAAGATTGATAACGAAAATGAATGAAATCTTCTAATATGACGGTTGAATATTGATTAGCAACATTAGAAACTTCCTTTCGTCTCACAACTTTAACTGCGGTTTTAAGACAAGTCACATTAGCCAGTGTTAAAAAAAATCACATTTTTGTTTGCTATGATCACCTTTCATCAAAAGTGTAGATAAGACCGACATTAATTCAGTCACAATCCATCTCGTTTTAACCAGACTACGAGGGGCAAATTACCTATCGTTAATTTCAATTAGCTGGTAACTTGGTAAAACCAATCAGGATTTGATTATGTTAAACTATAGGAACAAAAGCAAAATTTGTAAACCAGATATCTGTTTTAACGTATTACACTTTATCGGTTTGCTAACTTTTCCAACCTCGAATTCTGTAAAATAAATGTCATCTCTATTCCAAGGTAACCCTCATAATCCTAAAGCGGATACTCTCATATCCTCTTGATTAACTTGTTATTCAAAACTGCTCAAACAACACAGAAAAATAACCATTGTTATGGACTGAAGGTTGGTAAAAAGGAGGAAAGCGAAATAGATAGAATAAAAGATTTTATGTACATAATTTTAATTGTAAATATTAGTAGTACCGGGGGTGTACAACCTTTAAAAGCCTCACTAGGACTATGTATAATGATGAATACTGATTTCAGTGTTGTCTCATCGAGTGAACAGATAATACTGAATCAGTAATAATATACAAAAATTATCTTCTCAGTTCGATTCCCCATTTATTCAAATTTATTATCTGTTGAGTCGCAACATTAGACTGTGGTGGAGGTGGACTCAGCAGTCCTATGGTGGTTGGTATTAAAATATAACTCCTAGACTTCGAGCACTGCTCGTCCTGATGACCATTACTGTGTATAAATCATAAGACGAAGAGGAAGAATCGATGACATTTATTATCGTGCTACAACAATTACAAAATCGCAGGCATACTGCGCGTAAGAGAAAATGAAATGAGAGTGCCGAATTGCAAGCCAATGGAATGGATGTGCACGTAGACGGTAAGCAATACTCAAACAGCCATGCTTATACAAGTGTAACAATGAAAAAAGTATAATGGTACAGATAAGTTGTTAATTTACGAACAACACTATCCGTCAAATAGACAAACTCAAATAGTTGTTAGCTGCATTGAACAGTTGTGAATGTTATCTTCATACAACTTATATTATTGTCTGCATTATTGATATTCCCACTTTCATTTAACACATCCACATAATTTATTTGTTTACGAAATTGAATGAATCAAAGTTAACTACGCTATATGCTGTTAGATGCTTATTAATATAACAAAAATCATTTCCTGTATTAAAGGTTATAATTAAAGCTGATTGAAAAGTACCTTTGATAATAGTCATAAAGAATGAATAAAATGAATTTCGTTTCTTTGAATTCCACAGTCTCATACTTTTATCAGTAAGTTTTGTACAAACATGAAAATGACTAAACAGAACCAACTTGTTGTTTATTACTTACTTACTTACGCCTGTTACCCCCAATGGAGCATAGGCCGACCACCAGTTTTCTCCAACCAACTCTGTCCTGGGCTTCTCTCTCCAGTTCTGTCCAATGTTTGTTCATTCCTCTCATATCTTTCTCTATTTCTCGGCGTAGTGTGTTCCTTGGCCTTCCTCTTTTCCTTTTGCCTTGAGGGTTCCATGTGAGGGCTTGTCTAGTGACGCAGTTGGGTGCTTTTCGTAGTGTATGTCCTATCCACTTCCACCGCTTCTTCCTGATTTCCTCCTCCACTGGAATCTGACTTGTTCTCTCCCACAGTTCGTTGTTGCTGATGGTGTCTGGCCAACGAATACGAAGTATTTTGCGTAGACAGCTGTTAATAAACACTTGTATCTTCTGAATGATGGCTTTGGTAGTTCTCCATGTTTCCGCTCCATACAGTAGAACTGTCTTCACATTTGTATTGAAAATCCTGATTTTGGTTTTGTTTGAAAGTTGTTTGGAGTTCCAGATATTTTTCATCTGTAGAAATGCAGCCCTCGCTTTGCCAATCCGCGTCCTCACATCTGCGTCCGATCCACCTTTCTCGTCGATGATGCTGCCAAGATATGTGAAGGTGTTAACGTCCTCCAAGGTATCTCCATCAAGCGTGATTCGGTTGGTGCATGTTGTGTTGCATCGGAGAATTTTGCTTTTTCCTCTATGTATGTTGAGACCTACTGCTGCAGAGGCTGCTGCTACACTGGTCGTCTTCTCTTGCATTTGTTGTTGAGTGTGCGATAGAAGAGCCAGGTCATCTGCGAAGTCCAGATCGTCCAGCTGCGTAGTGGAAAAATATTTCCAACTGATTTGAATATTCAGTCATTTATACCAAAAAGTAAAAACCTTTCCTGTTTTATGAAATTTTTATCATAACGTAGTTAGCATATGTAAAATCAGCCCATGACGAATGCAGTCTACAAATTGTTGTAGTCCCAACAAAATCTGTTTACTTAAACTATAACAGTCAGTTAGCCGTAGATTTATTTGGAAGTGAGTTGTCGAACTTCTAGTTTAGGTCGTGATTAGTTAAGTTCGAACATCTCTCAGATATACCTAATTTTATTCATTTGTTAGTTTTGCGTTATTAAATTTTCTGTGAATATTAAAATGTTTTAAAACTATTACAATATAAAATCATCCTTAATGTGTTTAACAATTACTCCACTGATCAAATTGAACCATTCTGAGATAGAATATTATGCATAATCCAAATCGAATTTCTCATGTTTTATAGTTAATCACAAGAAGTCCGTTGCGATAGCTTTAACAGCAAATATATTGGTTGGACTTCCGTCAGCTTTAAATCTCAACATTTTGGCAAATCAAGTAAGCAACAATCGTATTTTTTTATACTCTAATGAAGATTCTGTAAATTACATTTAAATTATACATTAATTACTTTTTACTTTTTAAATGTAGATGAATAAACAATTCAAATCCATGATTTCAAAGTGTTTTCAGATATAGGACACGTTTGTCGGTATCTAAAGGTGAATTTATCAAGTAGTCAGTTTGAGAACATGAATATTACTTATTGTACTTAAGAATATTCATATGACGACACATTTGGTCTACATTTCACTGAGGTGGTAACAATTAATGAATCTATGAATGTATGAATATATAGTAAAGTAAATTCGATACAAAGATATTTGAACGAAATCTTCCATTATTAGGAATGATCGAAAATTCAATATACAATATAAAAAATGTTCATTACCAATTGGGTGGAACTTTACTGTCTACTTATCATCTTAACCTAAAGTGTCTTCATTTTTATCTTTTTCCAAAAATGCTTACCTAGTAAACTAACGCGATCAGAAACTTATTAATTTTCAAGTTTGTTTATTTTTCAACTGCTTTCTTTGAATACATTTTATTATAATTTATATTTGTCTAATCTAACCTAGAATGATTCAAAAGTGTACAGTTCAGTGTTTGGGAAGTTTATGGATGTATCAATCATTTAGCCTGAAGAAATACAGACAAAATACGAATATTTACATTTCTAACCTCATTGGCTGATAATATTTCCCAGAGTGACAATGAAAGCTTTCCTTTTCAAACATTTAGTTGAGACAATACAATACCACTATAACAAATAATCATAAACAGATTTGAAAACAGTATTTAAGAATATAACGTTTATCAAAGCCTGTTTTCGTCAAGTACTCTTTCCACACAATCTTGAAATAATGGTGTAATGCAACGGAAATCGTTTCGCTATCTCAACAGCTGACTTAACTTATTGACGTCTTTCGTTTTTCCAGATAATCATGTCTGTCACTAGAGCACATTAAAATAAAAAATTTTAGCTAGTGATTAGTTAAAATTCACAGATCTTATCTTCTACTTTGTTTTATTTAAGGATAATGTATGGGGTATTGCATTGTTAATATCAGGTGTATTGATGGCCGGTTTGGTTATTCGGTACGGACCAATGAAATATCGTCGATGCATAGTTAATGAATTTGGTCTAGGCGATTGGAATTTACCAAAAGTATGGATATTTATGATAACGTAAGTTACATTTAAATAGTATTAGTAGTACAAGTAAGTGAAATATTTCTTAAAAACTCAATTTATATATCTATATGATAGTGTTTTTCTAAATATAGTCACTACGGTAGCAAATGCTTATCGTCTTGCAAGAACAGACTAAGGATGACCTGTATGAACATGGAAACCTATCAAGCTTCAAATGTATCAAAACTAAAAAAATCATGTATGTATATTATACACATGACTGTTTCGTTTATCTGATTTTATTCATCAGAGTGTTAATTATCAAGCTGAATAGTCGTATGAACGACTCTATCACTATCTGTATACACTGATCAATGTTTCTTAAAATACATAATAGTATACTCTATGTACCCTTTAAATAAAGAGAAACACAGCCTCTGATTGCAATTTCTCACTAAAAAATCTTGTAATAACATTTTAGTATAGATGTTCCATAATATCGTTTTCTGTGTTATTGTACGATCATTCGTCAGCTTTTATAATAGCAGTACAGCTGTATTGAATAGCTTCGATTTCTGGCAAGGATTATTAATTTGAAGGAAGTCTATTATAATGGAAAAAAATCCTGTATTAAGAAGAATTCTGAACCAACAGTTTCATAGTTATTGATCTCTCTCAGCAGTAGTTTAAATAATATTTTTTAAATCACTCATATTTGAAGAAAAAAAGGGCTATGCACAGGATGAAAATAGTTTATTTCGGTACATATATGTTTTATACATTATCTATTAGCTGCTTGATGACAAACCTATGGGAACTAGAATCAGGCCGATAACTGTGGATATTAGATTACTAAAGCTGTATGTCAAAAGCATTTCAGCTTTGCTTATTCATTTTTCATATGCTTTGGTATATTTCACATCATTATCAATTCTGTCCAGAATTTTCAATCTAAATTAATCAGATAATGTACCCCTATTATTAACTATCACCAATCAGTGTGCATCAGTCTGACTACACTTGTAAAATGGTGCTCGTTGTGTTATCATTTTAAGAACATATCATAACTATATTCCCTGTAGAGTTTATGAAACTGCATTGTTCCAACATAATGGTGTCCAACAGAATCGGTACAAAATAAATGACTGAATATTCAAATCAGTTGGAAATATTTTTCCACTACGCAAGAATTAAACTGATAACATATTGAAGTCTGCATAACAACTTTATGGTGAAAAGTCAATACAAGCGGACAACGGAATCAATAAAGAGTAGACTGAATTGAATATAAGCGAAATTCTGCATCATTTATGATGCAATGAGGCAATTTAAAACAATTAGTCCCTTTTATAAATTTTGATAGAACAGTGAGAAGACGTAATTGATCTGAAAAATGTGATGTATTTGCGTTATACATTTCGAACAATCTGGTCACACATATTTACTTGCCAAGGCATTTTATATGAAGATGAACTTTTATTTAATTGACCTTTTATTCATCTTCATATAAAATGCCTTGACAAGTAAATATGTGTGACCAGATTGTTAGAAATGTATAACGCAAATACATCACATTTTTCAGATCAATTACGTCTTCTCACTGTTCTATCAAAAGTTACAAATGCATTTTATCACAATTCTACTGTCGTAACTTTTCTAATCCATAACACAATGAGATTCTTTTGTTTGAAAACTACAATTACACAATAGCTGGCCTTTCTTAGTTTGCTTTAAATTACTTATTTTTTCTTTCATGATGAATACTAGTATTCTTGTGCCATTACAAGGAATAATTCTAATTACTTGGTGGATTTATGATATGATTACGAGTGATTTATATTGGTATATGTTCACATATGAATCTGTTACAGCGTTGTGTGTTGAGGTAAGTTGATAAATATATTTATGTCTACTAGCATTGAACATTATTTGTGAAGTAAGATGATTCCAAATCCATTTTATCAAATCATTAGAGAGATGTGCATTAGATATCAACTTTGAAAAATTATTATTCGATTATTAGATATCAGTACGAAGGTTGGGATTTGATAATTTTAAAGAAATCGAGCATTAGGTGGAAAGTTTAATAATAATAATAAAATAATTATAATTTTTGATGATATCCCAATGAGTTGAAATGTGTCTAGCTGACGTTTCATGACTTGCTATAAGTCACTTCTTCATAGTAAATAAATAAATAACCGAGCTAAATTAACATAAATTTAAACAGTATAAAAGAAGCAATACAGAATATTTTTAGTACTGTCAAAACTATGATAGGTCTAAGACTGTCAATGTTATCTTATTTTTGGTCAAAGTGATTTTGTATGAGACTTTAAAGTGTTATTTATGTGTATGCACGGGGTAAGGAAAATGTGTCATTGTGACATGAAGTAGTATAGTTAAAAAAATTACAAAAATTTTGTGTGTCCATGCATAGAATTGTGCACCAATATGTGGTTATTTGGATAAAAACGGTCCAGGTTGAATGAACAGTTTGGCCATCTTTTCTATTGAGGGCAGAGGGATTTAGCGTTAAATGAAACACTGACTACTTGCCTCTCTTTATGGTGCGAAAGACTTTTCTGAACTATTTTGATATTTTAAATATCGATTTGCTGGTTAATGAAAACAAGGTATGCTGCCACTGCTGATTTAATTTGTACTTTCCAGTCCTAAGGGATTAGTAGGATTTTGCGTAGGTTACTTTTTTGGCATGAGTCAACATTACCAGAGATGATCCCCCCAATATAAGACACATCCCTATCTACGTAGCCCAGTTTGTGGACGCAATTTTGAGAGGATGTAAAAGGTACCTTATCCTTAATTCTAACTGAAGCATTTCGTAGCGAATTGGCTGTTTGATAAAAAGCTGTAATTCTTAATGCCTTCAAAATCCTGTCTTTCTTTTGTTATACCTTGGCTATAAGGCGAACTACAGTACCAATCCAAGGACGTTGATTAGAATTGTTGTTCGTATAGAGAACTTTTCGTTTAAATAAGCTTTTAATTACAATTATAGAAAAACAATTAAGTCGCAAGATGTTCATTATGTCATCGTTTTCCTTTAGCTGATCTCCTTCTGAAGTTATGATTTTGGTAGCCTTTCAATGTAGATACACGGCCAGGGAAATTAACTACCCCCTGAATAAATTATACAAATTGAAAGTCAATGTATCAATTTGAATGTGTCACTATCCGGTATATGGTTAGGTTTAAATTTCCTTTAGGATTTCTTTTATATAAACAGTTCATGAAAGGTAGTTCACTATGTTCATCATTTTCGAAGGTGAATTCGATGTTTTCAGAGAGTGCATTTATTAGTTTAGAGAATCATCTAAGGGGAATCTTTGTAATGGTGATAAATGTGTCATTACCGTATTTGAGCCAGATACGTGGTCTGATAGTACTTGCAAAGATAAGTGATTTGATGTGAGACATAATTAAATTAGTAACAATCGACGATACCGGAGATCCCATGGCTACTACATTGGTTTTGTTATGTAAAATCCCTTTGAAAGTAAACAATGTGGAATTCAAACATAGTTTCAGGGATTTCATGATTAAACCAATGCTTATTGGACATATTCTAGATGGAGTACTATCATCCTCTAGTAAGCCATTAATAAATTCTAGACAACTATCAGTTGGAATACAAGAGTATAAACTTCCAATATCATAGGTTATTGTTATTACATTCTGATTGATCTTGATTTGAATTTTGACTTGATTCGATTTAAATTCATATGAGTGAGTCTTTTATGAAGTTATGTTAAAGTGGCTTCAATACACTGCTTTGGTATTTAAATGAAGCATAAGTATGGGTGTCTATGAAGTCCACTATGGGTCTTGAAGAAATGTCAGGTTTGAGAATTTTCGGTAGCCCGTAAGATTGTTCTGTTAGATTCAGGATAAAAGATAACCCACATAGTTGCTCAAGTAGAAGTCTGAAGATCTTTTAAAATTCAACTGTCACTGACTTGACTTGGCTTTTAGCTATTTGAAGATTTTTTGAATCGATCTCTAGATATAATTCTCTCGATATATGATCAAGGGCTTTTCCTGCGTAGTCGCTTTTTTTCCTGACTGCCATCGTATTACCTTTTTCAGCCTGGGCTACAAAAATCGTTTTATCTTTAAGGATCGTGGCATCGGATTAATAGTAGAGAGGGTGGTAATAAAAAAGACTGAACACAAAAACTTTCAAGTACTAGGTCACAATGGGTTTTTTTCATTTGAAATCTGGAGTCGATCAATGTTAGACCACTATTATAAACCTGGAAGCACTGGACGGCCGTACCATCCTAGTATGGGACTCATCAGCAGAGCGTACTCATAGCACCCGCTTGCGGGAGTCGGACCCAGGATATTCGGTCTAAGGCGCTAACGCCCAACCTCTAGACCACTGAGCCGGTCTTCAGAGGTGTTAATGTGTAACGTTGGTCAATCTAAGGTACTGCACAACCTCACCCAATGTTTTCGGTAGTTGATGGCTGAACTCCACTGATCACGGCTTATCAACAGAACCCCGAGAATTCCCCCCTCCCGTAAGCGGAGTGGTGGATGCGCACTGCTGATGAGTCTCATACTGGGACGAAACGGCCTCCTAATGCTGCCAGGTTTCTAATGGTGGTCTAAAAACGATCAATCCCAAATTTAAAACGAAAAACAACAATCTACATATCTATATAGCGAATATCACAATGAGTTCGTTGAATATAAATTTGTAAAAGTATTGAACGTGAGCATCTATTAGGAGATAAAGAATTAATCAATTCACTCATTAGGAGCCACATCAGCAACAGCTTCAAGGCTTGATATCCTATTGTAGATATCACAAAAATCAGACAGTTTACATCCCCTAACATAGTTCAGACTAACAGTCATTGGCTTTGTGGACTATTGCTTTGTCGTGGTTTAGCTCGCGCATTCTCCCCCAGCGTTTTTTGTTAATATCAACTAGTATAAAATCCAGAATGAGGACGTTAACTGTTTTTACGTCTATACCGCTTAGAAACGTCGAAAGATATCTGTTTTAAGGAAGAGGCTGAATGATATGAATAACCGTGTAATTAATGTCAGTAAATATTTAAAATATCATATTCATAACATCTTGTTTTCACATCTTCTCATGCATGTTCATTGTAGTGGATGATTTTGTTATCCTCATTGATTGGAATTAACCTAATTGCACTGTGGAGAAAATGGTCAATATTTCCTGTTGCTAAGACATATGGAAACAATCCTTACGAGCTAGACTTTTTGAAAGATTGCACTAACCTATAATTTTTATAGTAGTAAATTAGTTAATAGAAGTATATTTTTTTAAATAAAAATATTGTTAGAATTAAAACTTTTAGAGCTTTGTAAGCTGAATTTTCAAAAAAAAATTTGTAAAGAAAGTAGAAATTTTTGTGTCAAAAATAAATTGATTCTATTGTTGAGTTTTATAAACTTGATGCATTGGTTTTTACTAATAATTATATACCGCCTGAATATAACCTGTTAGATGATCTCACATAAGTGTCCGTTAGCTTCATTTAGTAAGTAGTGATTCGGTAGGCTAATCTGCCTTGAACAACAATCGCTATAGGAAATTCGTAAAGATGTCAATCTCATGAAAATGATATTTTTTTTACCCTACTGCTTATCGCTGATTATTTGGTTATATGTGCGATCAATGAGTATGCATTTTCTTATGATAAGTTTTATAAAAACACAAATACGTAAGCAATACATTTTAAATGTTGAGTCGCCTACTATTCTCAGTGAATTTTCTACTTGATAGTTGTCGATTAGCTCAAATAAACCATAAGCTACTACTTTAGAAAATATTTTTCAACTGAAAGAAACCAATCTACAGGCTATTTTATTTGATATGACGCATTGTCAGAAGATATTAAATGAAACATGTTTCTATGTTGACTTAGCATACTAGCATCAGAAATATAAGAGTGTTATTTTTATCAGTAACAAATTTTTAAATCTTCATTCATCATACTGTATGTGACACTGGCAGTTCTATATAGATAGATGAAATGGTAATATTACATAAACTGACACTAAAATCTGTTGTAGGTCGATTCGTTCCAAGCATTCTGTAGATTCAATAACCACTCGGCTATGATATCAACGTTCAATTAAAAAAAGCTACTCTGAACATAATCTACATTCATATCAGTTTCGAATGATTCTGTTAAGACCTAACAGCTCCTCACATTGAAATGGAAATTCGCAACATTTTCTACCTACCATTGTTTCATCGCATCCGTACTTAGTATTAATTGAGCTGATATGTATATTTGTGAATTAATTTGAAAGAAATAGACAGTGAACATTTTGAAACTATACAATTATCAGTAAATATATAGTGTTTCAATAATTTTTTCCTTATTCTAGTCTACAAAATATTCAGAGAAGATAACAAAGATATCCAAAATGTCATATGTGTGACCATTGAATAGTTTTATTATAATTAGTGCAAAATAGGTTGCGCAAAATCTTTTTACAAAAGTATTTGTAGCCATTGAATAGCGTCAACTAGTTGCTGTGTACAGTAAGTGACTAATCTAATTGTTGAATAAAAAAGTGTACTGTATCAACAGGATAATCAGTTGGGAAAAACTAAGTTAATATGACTAGAAGGTTCTAAAAGAGAGAAAATCATTATCAAATGTTTCATAATAAGTAGACAAAAGGAATATACAATACTTTACACCAACTGATCACATGAAACTCATCTTTCTAAAAAATGTCAGGTCAATTTTTCACTCATAAACGACTCAGAATTGTTTTATCGTTGATGTTATAAGATTCTTTAGTAATAATAGTGATATTTTCCATTTCAAAGTCATCGGTATTTTCATAAGTTGCTGGATTATATGGATCACAACCTTTGGCTTTATTTAAAGCTTTACTTAGTATGTTTGTTCGACAAAGTATCCAATTCAAAATTAATAGAACAACCATTGCAATGAACCACTAAAATAAACGATTTCAAATAAAGATGGGATACATTGATATTTTAAGAAAATCTCTATAAACAAAATTGACTGGTAGTCTTCTGTTTAAAAAATTTGATATATTTTGATTAAGTTAATAAAGGAAACCATGGTTCAAGGAGTCAGAATGGGAAAATTTTGCTGAACTAGATTAACAACGAATTAATTACGAGTTTATTAGCGGTCAGTCCGTCAGCTACAACGTAAGACGTGTTACGTACTGTTATGCTTGAATTAACACAAGTTCACCTTAGTCGGTAAACGAGAGCGAAGACAAATGATCCAGTGACACGATAGGCTACTCTAATCCGAGCGTCCCAATGCCCCACAATGTAGAAGAAGAAATCTCTATATGGCGTAGAAAGTGTATTCTACAAGCACCCAGCAAATATGAGGTACATCATAGAAACGCCCGTGAGGGATCCACAAACAGCGTACTAAAATGACACATCAACAACTAACAGCTAAGGACTTTCCGGGTGGGAAATGTAGTCTCAAGGTCAGCTGATCAGCCCATGCTTGAAACATAAAATCTAAAATTAGGACCTTGATCAAGTGAGCTTTGGGGATCTAACGTCCCCAACACGTACGTATATCAGTTCAAGTCGCCATACCACATTAGCACCTGTTAGCTCAAATACCATAGTCGTAGAGATTGTAACTCGATTAGCGATTGTCGGGAAGATTAGGGTTCGAAGATTTGATTCAAGAAGTATAATCCAGTGAAATAAGTTTGAAAAGAGAAGGAAGGAAATAAGAAATAAGCAGATTAGGGTTTGAGAGAACACAAAGAATGATTGTACCTGCGCCATTGCAAGCGATTTTGAGCCATGTAATTAGAGGTCTCTAACCATCAGTTATTATCATTTCGCGGACCCTAAACAAGTAGTCTACACCTACCAACATGGTTCAGTCCATTTATCAGTGACTTCATGGATTTGTGCCATGTTTTGGTTTTCTACACATAGCTTTCTTCCTGCCTACGCCTGCATCACAAAACATCGCTCATCGGGGCAATCAGTAGTTGGGCATTCGTAACACATGTCTCAACCATCTCAACTGATGAAGTTTCACTACTCGTCAGTTGATTTGCCATCCCTACTTAGTACCCGTTTTCTAACAAAAGAATTGCTTACTCGGTTGTCCCAGAATATACGAGCAATGCTTCGAAGACATCTGTGATCGAATACCAGTAACCTGTGATATTATCTTCTACTCTGACTGGCGATGTTGCGCATCCATATAGTAGGACGGAGCGGACTACTGCACGGTACACTCGTCCTTTGGTTGGCACCATAAGTGATGCAGGTTGACAAAAGCCAATCGAGCCTTCTTTATCCGTGCTGAGATTTCATCAGACACTAGACCATCAAGACTTGTGGGATTCCCAAGATAAGTCAAGCGGTTGACACGCTCCCTGTTAGTGATACATGAATTATATTTGCGAAATAAAATCTTAAAATTCCTTATTTTCTTGAAGACTACATTTATCACGAGATCACTGCTTTCGATTCGTTTTAACGTATATCCGTGCAAAACGTTTACTTGAATTTTACTTGCTTGACATATTGATTAAATATTCACTAGCATACCTGTTTGTTCATACTTAAAAAAATTTCGACATATAACTGGATGGTAGCTAAATTTTCGATCATCTGATAGTAAGACAAGTAAAAATATATCACTTAAAGTTTACCACCATTCTACTGATGATGAGTGGTAAGTTTTCCTGTTCCACAAGGATCGTTTTCATGGATAGTTATAAACAAATTTTTTTAAACACTGTATTACCGCATCATTTATATAAACATAAAACATTCACAATCGACTGACGTACTTCCAACACTGTTGTTAACAATGAATTCCAATTTAGGTGGAACCAATTTGGATCTGTAGTTATCGATTCATAAATCCACCAGCCTAACAGTGCAAGTGATTGCAAAGGGACTAAAAATCTAAAGAAAAAAACATATCTATTATGTAAATGGGAACTAACAACTTCAAATCAACAACATAATGAGGTTATTTACTAATTGCTTAGTTTAACAGACGGCAACTTTCCTTAAAATAAACTGATGTGGAACCTTTCAAAATATATGCATTGATATATTACCTAGGGATATGCTTACAATCAATCGGTTTTGAAATGACTTATAGATCATCTAAATATTCTGTCACATATAACCACAAGTTTATTGTGGTAAACACCCTGATGGATCCCATATACAATCATGAGTGCACAGTGTTGATAAATACCAAACTGAAGTTGTCTATGACATTTTCAATTGCTCTTCATATCATAGTGATTTGTGACTAAAATTGTTTTTAAATATACCACCAAATGAAATGTATGAAATGCTACGGTTATTCTAATTGATTTACGATTATGAAGTTTATGTTGGTATTCTGGCGAGTTAGTCAGTGTTTGAAAAAGCAGTACAATCTAAAATCTTTTCAGTTTAATTAAAAATATTTGTTCCAAATCACTGACAATTTTGAGATGGTGGAGAAATTCGTAACTAAGGTGGATAGTTGTAGTGGTGTTTCAATCATTGACAATCCTTATCAGATTAACTTCATTTTTGAATAAAATTTTTAAAAAGTTAAGCGTTGTAGGTCAATTATCAACTATGAAATAATTGTAATGAGTTTAAATTGTTCAACACAGTATTAGGCGTTTGTGCTATAATATACTGAACTACGTGAATGACAGTTGCAATTGGTCAGTTAAAACGAGTATAAAAACGAGAAAACTTGTTGCAATATTTTCTCCATTAAGAAATAAGTAGCCTAGATCTTTAGCAAGATTGATACTTAAAAATTAGTACATAATACATTTTATCTGTTAGATTCTCCTTACAGATGGTATCTATAAAACATTAATGTAATCAATACACGCCTATTTTGAGCTTTAAACTTGACTACCCATGTATAATGGATGCACTTGTGTAACTGATTGACTAACACATCTACATAACTTCGACAAATCGATATTTAACTTAACATATGAAGAATGAATGTTTTTTTTCAATGAATTGTCTTCAGGCTTTATAATTAAATGTCCATATTAAGTAATCAAAAGTATGGTCAAAAAAGACAGATTATAACATGCGACGTTAGAACAGTTTGTGAAATGAAATGAAATTATTAATTTTGATAGAACAATGCGAAGACGAGGTTGATCTGAAAAATGTGATGTATACCTGTCAATGTACTTTATACGAAAACTAATTAAGGTCAAGTAAATAAAAGTTCAAATAAACAAACCATGATAATTATCAATCCAAGGAAAGAGGAAATTAACATAGTTTGGAAAGAATAGGAAATTGTCACATTACCCTAGACCACAAAATAACTTAAAGATTACCAGGATAAACTCAAGATTATGACAAATTGTTTTTTTTTACACAGAAGGGGTATTTGAATCCATAACTATCCTAGGCTCCTATAAACCTAAGAATTGGTTCTTAACAATTTCTCTACAACTTTTTAAGAGATGTATTAATGTCAATTCTGCGCCCGGTTTGAACTATCTATTTTGCTATTGATGAACATGATTTTCTTTTTCCCGCGTTTATCGTGTCATGTGGTATAAACTAATTTCGAACGCATATAGGCCCATGTTCCATTATCCTTGTTTGCATTGTCCGATTACTTCTCCTTGTGTATTTGTCCATACGAACATATTACCTGATAAATGCATTTGGATGTGACGTAACCGCTCGTGCGATATCTAGGCTTATGTAGAATCACAGTCTCAGTCCCTTCAAATATAAACAGTTTAGCTGCACAGTGTTTTGTCTCAATGGCTTCTTTTGGGCTGTCTTAAGATCAAACTGTTTGATTCATCTCTAAATTGTGAAGAAATATAAACACTTTTCTTCTCAACAGAATTAATGAGAGGTTTTTGTATTAACTGACTTTTACACCTATTTATAAACATTAGTGGATGACCGTTTGAAATCAGTGTTTAAGGTAATAGATAAGCGTCGTCTTCGAATGTATCTGTAGTATATATTCTTTGAGTTCTATTAAAGGGGCAATTCGCAAGGCATCGCTTGTGCTGCGATGCACAAAACTGTGGAAATTTCAATATTGTCCACTACGGACCGCTTCATAGTTCCCCATCCTCCCTTCCACTCATCAGTTTATCTAAAAAGGGCTATCGGTCATTACTTTGTTCCTCATAGGTTAGTAAGAAATTATCGTATTTATCGAGTAACTGAGCAACATAGAAATCTTTATCTCATATAACCAATATATCATCCATATATCTCCCATACAGAGTAGCCTCACTGGTGAGCTCACTGAACAAATTTTCGACAGATTTTTTTGGCAGATATTTAATGTAGTTCGCTCAATACTGTTGACCGAATACAAGAGATAAATTTTTCAGTATATATAATTTTTTTTCAATTAAAGTTTTGGAGACTGGTATTTTTACACTATGAAATCATCAATCAGCCATTGTTAGACCACTATTAGAGACCTGGAAGTCTAATGATTGATTGATGATTTGAATGTGTCAGTATATTTAATCACAAAGAAAATTCTTATTTTTGATTACTTATATTAGTAAAAAGAGAGTTTACATCAAAAGAATGCATAGTCTTTAATATTAGTATCGTCAGTAGCATCAATTAGTTTGAGTGTGTATCTCTTTGAGAGGAATTCACACAATTTGTTACGAATTGGGTTGAACAATTTAGATAACCACTTAGCTAGTTGTTCAAAATGCAAGCCAAAAATACATCACATTTTTTAGATCACCTCCCTCTTCTGATTGTTCAATCAACATTCACCAACTGGGTCTAATTGCTTTAACGTTGTTAATGTGGAGATGACTAAAATTGGGACTGTTAACTTGAAAAAGCCTATGCGTTACATGAAATTGTGATGTCAACGATTAGCATAAATATGGATCAGTCAGGGTGAGAGAGATAATATTGTGTTCACGGAATTAGATCGGGAATATTCATTGGATAATATTATTATAAATTTAGTAAGAAACAGTAAACTGAGGTGAGTGGTAAGTAAATTGATCAAATGTTCAATAGATGGTTGTATATAGATTAGTCAAAGTGGACATTTCAATTTCTGAGATCGTTGTTGGGGAGTTGGCTACGGTAAGAGAAGAGGTTGAAGGAATTTGTTTTACATACATAACTCCAGTTTTCTTAGTCCGAATAGCTATCGATTCTGCCGTATAAAGAATTTTAAATTGAATCGATAAATTATTGAGAATGGTTTATTCATCCTTACACTATGACCAGTTTATGTTTGAAAAGAATATACTGCATTCATATATCAATGGAGATGTTTAAACATCTAATATACACCATGTGGACGATTTGCAATGTTAATAATCGGTTTATTATAAATAATTAAATAAAATAACATTCTTTGTTTGTTTACAATCGATGTATAATTATTGGAACACGGTAACATTAATTTTAAGATATGTTACTAGAGTATTAGAATAACTTACGCTATTAGCGGAACCCAAAAAACTGATAGATGACAATCGTTTATACCAAAATCATTAATAAGAACACGTCGATAACGGTTTGGGCCATAAACAATAACTAATAGACAAAATAAAAATCCAGATATCACAAGTCCATATCCCCATGTATTGTCCTAAATGAAAATAAATATAGTTTTCTAAATTTGCAAGATATGTGACTAAATGAAAACTATTTTTCCTGTAGTATGGACCATGAACTGATCCGAATTAGACGATAATTGCAAATCATTGCTGAACAGCTCTTCCCCCCTTGCACATGACTTCTTAGAAGTGCAATTGTGACCTCGCAGTAGACGCTTAACGTGGAGACCAGTGCGATGGAAACTAATGGTTTATATGTCTAAATTTATTCAATTCTCAATATTGTACGACTATATTCTAACGTCATCGGTGGGTTCACCTCTCATCAAATACGGTTGAATTTCATTGGTCATGGTATCGCTCTCGAACTCCAGGTTTAATTTCTCGAAATTAATTACTCATGAATATATTTAATCTTTTTCGTATAAAACATACTTTACACGTACTTACTTGATTTGTTAAAAAGTCAAGATACACTGCTGAAGGCACACCAATAAGCGCTGACGCAATTAAGGCAATAGCAACGGCTGATCTATGAGGTACTGAAAACAAATATGGAAAGCAGAATTAACCTCAGAATTTTTGAAAACTACAGACTTTGATTAAAATTTATGATCTATTCAAATTCTGTTTCAGTAGTTTATGGAAATTATCTTCATTTCTGGTATTTTCCGATGGTTACTTTCTTTTATCGTTGTCAAATAAAAGGATTTTGTTGGCTAATTTTCAAGATAAGCATGTGATTTACTCAACTGTGTAGATAAACGTTCAGCAAAATAGTGAGCGAAATTTATCATCATAAATTAAATTAAAAATTCTATGGGAAAAGCATGACAAAACTATTTCGACTAATTACGTTAGCAATTGAATTATAGGTTTTGCTAATATATATTACACTATAATTTTCTTTGGTTTCTAGATAAATGATGTAACTCGGAATGTTCGGATTAGTAACGAACACGACTATTAAGCTTAAATCTGATGTTTTGATGCTTTTCCAACCATTTTAAGTGATATTAATGAAAATCCTAGTGGTCACCTTACAGAATTTAGTTCTTAAAACATCCAGGTAGATGTACCAATCTACAAATTATTGGCATGAAATTACATGAAACCCACATACAAACAGGTGTTATATTCATATTTTGTAATTCACTATGAAATTCATTTAGAAGTTTATTCACACTTGAACGCATATATCATAATAACAAGCAACGAAACCATTATACATTGAATGATCTGAAGCACTTTTAATGGTTACATATTATCTATGTTGATATCTTTAAATAAAATTAAAACTTAGAAATTGACGTTAAATTTCATTGCTTTCATAAGTAACATTCTAATCACTCTTACAAAAGAGTCAAAACACTAAGTTTTGTGTTTATAACAGTCATTCCTGCATGCCACATGACATTTTAAAACCAGTCGTTAAAGTTGAAAGACGTGATTTTAATTTGAGTGTCTAGGAATCACTATACCCATGTAAATCAATAACGCTTCTAGTTCTCTATGCATTCGCAAATAAAATGTTAATGAGCAAGATATTTTAAAATAAATATTTTGATTAAAATGGATGATTTATGATATAAATTGTTCGCTTTTTTTACTTGTGTCGAGAACATCTAGTATTTTTTTGTCATATGGTTTATTCAGTCATCTATGTACTTATTAGAGCTTCCAAACAACTCTTTCGGTATTAACAGCATCACTCATCGTTAGTACATAAATATATCCTCAATTCTAGCGACAGAAAACAAATACTGTCAGAATATTATTCTTATGATTCAAAATATTGCGTGTAAACTACCTAAATATCATCAATGGAAAAGTTTGATTATTTAGGTTACATTAGTTTAAATCGTTTTAATGACTAACCATTCAATTCTTTCATTGCAAGTACACCGATTTGAGTTATTGACAGTAATGAACTTATTCCAGCAAAAACTAGACACAGAAAGAAGAATGCACACAAAATGCGACCAAATAAACCGAATTTTGAAAACAGAACAGGTATCCTAGTACGAAAGTAAAATAGAAGACCATGTAAGTAAAACTTCTAATTCATTAATTTTAGAGATGTAAAAGTTAAATTTCATGTCAAAAGTGATTATCGACTCCATTGATTGACCAGTTCATGGATTATTCATTCAAAAATCGTTAAATTAATTTCTAAGAGTCAGATTCCTACTTCGTTGTAAGATATGCAAATTTTTAAACAGATATTACGTTAGAGATAGTAAATTCTATATATGTTCTTGACAAGCTGACATTCTCTCAAGAAGCACTGAAGGCCAGAAAGCAATAGACAAAGATTTCATTTTATTTTGAGATTCTTTAAAAGTAGATGAACTTTATTCTGTGCGAAATTCAAGCCAAGACATTCAGGTGTTATAGCTGACAAGATATCATCCTTAAATTTCAATGTATCCATCCTTTTCAGTAAGAATATCATAATGCATGCAGACAAAAGTAGCATTAGCCCATCACGAAAATTCACATATGATCGAAATTTCACTTGTATACACATAAATGAGCTTACCAAGTGAAAGTAAGTCCTGTACTTCCAGGACCAGATGTTTTTATAATTCTTACAATCGCTGAACGGGTAACTGTAGGATTTGTTTGTATGATTGTAGAAAACACAGTTGAAAATATTGTTATGGATGCATATAAACTATAATGAAAGTATAACACAAAAATGAAGGTAAGGTTGATGAAAGAAATCATAGAAATCAATAACACACGCAACGTTGGATGAGATTTCCTACAAGTGAAAGTGTTCATAGCTATTTCGTAATTCTAGGGTCGCTGGACTTTTCTGAACACCCTCTTTAGTGTAAACTAATGGTTGACCTCAATACACTAGTGACTTAACACAGAGAAATTGACAGTTATACCTCTTGACCGGTAAAATCCTCATAAGTCAATCCAAGTTGCAGCAAAATACCTCCACTTTCTTCATTCTAGAGACATTTAAAATTAGGATTACAACAAAAGGCTTTTTCAGTGTTTAAATAAATACGGACTACAGTTTGTATGATATTCGACTAAGTCATTTCGTTCAATGACTTTATAAAGCGCCTTTTACAGGTTGTGCGTTCAATGCTTCAAAAATAAACAAATGTACATTGAAGCATTCATTTACCGTGTTAAAAACTTAAAACTTAGTCAAATCTGATTTCAAGTTCAACCACTGAATCTTGTAACTTGTTATACTGCGAATCAGAGGTACATAACTAACCTCATCAAATCAGTTGTTTACTTTCGTCTTTGTTACACGATTATAAAAATGTTTCTTCAAAATATATGATCATAAAGAATTTTAAAAAGTAAAGGCAAATGTTAACTTGATTATTCCCCAAGTAAATGAGTAATTTAGGTGCCTTGTATGAACGTCGCTCTTGAGAACTAGATTTTCCAACAATGAATTTTGTAGATTTCTACCGTTCAGTCAAGCGAATCATTTAACACTTGTTTATTAAATAAATTGTGTAACATAAACTACTAAGGTAATCTGAAATACTTCTGAGATTTTTATTATCTGGTAAAAAAATTCTATTGATGCATAATCACAATCTTGTACTATTAGTAGTCATCTTTCTGAACAATAATTATGCTTTTTATATTTGGATCGTCTAATATCATAACTTATCTATAAGCTTGTTTAATAAGTATCAAGTTGTAATTAGATCACTTCGGTGAACAGTAAATCATGATATTTTTTGGGTAATGTTTTGTAAAGGTAAAATATCTAGTTTTAGATTATTTTTATTCTTATCAAAATTAGATTACTGCAGTTAAGTAAAGAATATGATTTTAGTTGTACGACGTTTTCCTGAAATCTGATTTACTGGGAAAATCATTACTTGTTTTACTTACCTTACAAGATTATTTATTATAGGGATGAGGAAACTATACGCTACTATTCTAGAATCTCGTGACATAAATGTAGAATAGGTTGCCATTATACCCATTCCAGAGCCTGTATCAAAAGCATTTTGACCTGCAGCTGCAATCCATAGAGTGGGATTTGTAAAAGTACCTGAAAGTGAGGAAGTAAATTGCAAATTTATGTTGTTCCTAGTTTGCACTTGAATATTAAACAATATCTTAAATGTGTTGTTGTCAGAATCCGATATAATAATTTAACAAGCATTTAATACCAAGTAAATGTTACACATCTCTTGGAAAATGTGTTTGTTAGTTTCTCAGTTCTCTTTTGTGAGGTCTGAGAAAATTTACTCATATTGCTGAAAAAACACTAAATCGATATACCAATTGAACCATAAATTAGTGAGATAAAAAAAATGAATGGTCGACAATCCTATCTCTCATCCTTCTGTTTATGAATAATTGATCTTACGCGTCAAATAGGTGGGAAAAAATTACGGTGTTATGTTAACTATTCATTTAGTACTTTACAAACTGACCTTTGATGATGTCACCAGTGTTAATTATTGTGACGATAATTTTTTCAGGAGTTGTGGTGGTAGTGTTTAGTTCTCTGAGCTGGATGCTTTTCATTGTTCTTCTGAACAACATCATCAGCACAAACTTCAGATAGAAGTGAAGCATTCGAATTTCTCCACGTTTGACCTGTAGCTTGTTCTTCTAACCTCGATCTTGATTGGTTGCTGTTGTCCTTAAACCTGTCGTTGTTTGCACCTTTGTTTTGATTGTATCCCCATTTTGATCTGTTTCTTGATCCTCTGTCACCTATGATTTTCCTGATTGGTTGATAAATCGGGTCAATGTCGATGTGTTTGACCTGAGTGCCAAGCTTCTAAAAATTCCCTAGTGTTCTTTGCACTTCCCCTACCCAGTATTTCCACATTGTTCCAATCGAATGTGGGTTCATAACTGTCGGCGTGAATTGATATAAGCGAAGCGTTGTCGCGGCGTTTGACCGCTAATTGGTTTTCACGTAAACGAAGCTGAAGCGGCCGTCCACTTTGTCCTATGTAGTGTTTTTCACAGTCTGAGCAATTTATTTTGTAGATGATATTTGGTTTTTCTTCATTTGTCATGTTTTCCTTTGGTCTACATAGGATTGATTCAAGTGATTCTGTTGGTTTGTATGGTTTCAGTAGTCATGCTGTATGCTGTGATGTATGTTGTGCTGATGATGTTGTTCACAACCAAAACATCCAGCTCAGAGAACCAAACACCACCACCAAAATCATCCACCTGAGCTAAAATATTTTCAGGAGTATTTTAGTTCTAGCATTGAAATTGACTTTTGACGCAGTAAGGTTGATATCAATTAACAAATAAACTATCTTAAACGTTTATCGTAAGCTTAGTAAATACCCTATAACTAAATGATGACAACTGTACTCTACAAAAATTTTTGTATGTTTAAAAGGTCTCTGGGTTGAAAGGGTTGATCGATTAATCTAACATATTATAGGGTTAATCGCAGAAATTTGTGAGCACTTATCGACTTCACGGGTTAGAAATTAGGAGACTTAATTAATTTGTTTATTTGTCTAAAATATGCTACAAACATATAAACCAATGGAAGTGAGATGTTGCTTATTTTTCGTTAAAGAGTTATGGAGATTGTTGTTTAATAACTGAAATCACAAATCACTTATTGTTAGACCACCATCAGAAACCTGATGTGGGACTCATCGACAGTGTACAGCTATGACTTCTGCTACTCGGAGGATTCAAACCCAAAAATCTCGGTCTTGCACGCGAATACTTAACCTCTGGACTACTGGGCCGCAATCTCACCTATTTGTCTTCTGTAGTTACTGCATAGTTACTTCATGATTTCAGTAGTAAACAACAATCTCCGTAACTTCATAATGAAAAATCGTACAATAAGCTCACTAGTGGCTAGCTTCTCGGAGTTCTAATGAGAAGACGTGACCAGTAGAGTTAAACTCTGTCGGGTGTAGGTAGTAAATACCGAAGACGAAAAAGTGAGGTTGTGCGAAATCCCTAGATTGATGATAGTTAGATATTAACACCGTTGGATACCGGCCCTGTGGTCTAAAGGTTAGGTGTTCGCGCACAAGACCGAGGGTCGTGGGTTCGAGTCCTAAGAGTGGCAGGAGCTGAGGATGCTCAATGCAAATGAGTCCCATAGGATGACGAAACGGATGTCCAGTGCTTCCAGGTTTCTAATGAGGGTCTAACAATGATTGATTCATGATTTCAGAAATAAATAATACCTAATTTAAAGAAATCTCTTTAATCAGCAGTACTCATTTTACCTTTTCTGAATGATATTTTTGTTAACCTGTTATTAGAAGTGTAAACCCTTGCAAGTTCATTCTCATCAAAGAATATAGGGTATCTGACAATATTATCCCAACTTGACTTTCAGTGTTTGACCTAATATGTACGTAGAATTGATTTATTCAAAACAGTTTGTTCGTGCTTCCGAAGAGAAATAAGAATTAACTTCAAAGCGATAAAATAATATTAGGATACAGGAATGATTTAACTTACTCCATGATGGAGTGAATAAAAATGTTATTCCGATTTCGGCATACTGTCTCGTTATTGCCCAACCAAACATGAAAAGAATGATAAGTAACAACAGTGGAACAAGAATAATATTTGCTTTTTCAATCCATTTAACTCCTCCAGCTAAACAAATACCACTTAAGGCAACTGCCAGAAACTGAGTAAATACTGGCCAGTACGAGTGCTGTAGAGAAAAAGTAGATGGGTTTTAATCTATAAGGCTATTTACCAGTGAAAAGTAGAGAATACAAAAAGAATTTAGACGAGAAAATTTATCGAGTGTTTTGCTAAAACAGCAAAGACATAAATATTTCAGCAAGCCGGACCTTTGCTTGCTACAGCCATTATCCGTCAGAATCAAACTTAAAAAGCTGAACATTACTGTGCATTCTTGTTTCTGTAGATTTACACTATTGACCAAATTTACGCAGTCACTAAAATGAAAGGAACTCTGAATGGTTGCTTCGTTGTACTACGGGAATATGAGGAAATTTCCCCTCACAACTATATTTGGATTCGAAACCAGGGCTTCCAAACCTTTCAGTGAGTGCTAAGCATTCAGAGTGAATAGGGGTTTACTCATAAAATGTTTTATTTTCAAAGGAAGTTGCTGTCGCTTACAACTACCCTACACTCCCGGGTTGAAATGACTCCGAGTTTGTGTAGAGAGAATAGTAAATGAAAAGACTAACTGTAACATAAATCCACCGTGAAATTTCTCGGTTGGCTAAAATCAAAATATTCACCATGTTTATGTTCAAAATCATTCAACATTGTGCACAGATAAACTATTTGTTCTTAAGCTGCATTTTAGAGAATAAATAGCTCACGTCTTAGTTCAGTAGTGTAACTTCATGTTATGATTGATCATAATACCTATAACTGGTCATGAAGTTTCAGTGGATTAAAGTGTATTGTGTTAGAATTAGCCATCGTTCTCAATTGTTTTATTTGTTTTAAATTTAAAACTTCAAAGAGATTTGTTTTCATAAACAGTAACCAAGTACTTGGCATCATTCAACATGCTGCTTTGAATAATTTACATGTTAAAACTGTGGAATGTAAGAGTGTTTAATTATGAAGAAAATTCTCTTTATTGCTGTAATTGATTTATTACGTGCACCAAACGTAAATTTTAACTGTACTTGCTTAATTACTTATCAGACCGTGATACAAAAATGCATTGCAGCTAGGCATAAAAATAACTCAATGAAAGAGCCTTTTTAATTGAGATACCTCTGTAAAATTATTGAAAATTGATAAACTTTCTTCTTCAGTTTTCGGTAAAGAATAGGCACATGATATGTAGAAGTAATAGATACACCATCCAAGGACAACAGGATAATAACAACTGATTAGAAATAAGCACAAATAAACAAACAAGATCAATGATATGATACTGGTCAAATGCATTAAAGTTTACGGAAAAGTTAAAGTTAAAATATATCAATATCAAATACAGTAAATATACAAAGTTTTTTTGTGAAATCTGAAAACATCCTGTGTTCCATAAATGTTATAGGTTTACTAAAAAGTACAAATGCAGGCTGCTATCAAAAAATTACAAAATGGCGTAAATTTATTTCTAATCGCTTCATGGTTTTCAATAACAGGTCTGTCTAAAACTTATATCGTTCACAAAAATGCTAATAGATAGTGGATGATAGATAGGTTAGTAACATTAAGTTTTAAGGAAAGAGTAAACATTTTCTGGCAAAAGAAACTGTTTAATTCCTGATCATTCTACTTTTCAGTTATTGACATCCGTCCCTTCACTTAATTTACTATGAGAAATAATCTTATCAAAGTAGTTAGGTCCAAATTGTCTATTTAACTTTATCATGCTTCCAAAGTATTCCTTCAAAAGAGAGCAATTTATCAGTGCTTTCAAAAAATTATTTCTCTTCTTGTATTATTGACTGGTATTCTAAATAGTTGAAAAACTCTGTGAGATCATGCGGTACAAGAATTTTAGTAACTTCTACATTGTAAATTAAAAGAACTAAATGTTTATATTTAACTTTAGAAATCAACAACATACTAATTAGTATTGATTTCAAATTCTTAGTAGTACAAAAAAGTATTATTTCATTACATTATCATCACATTAATCTTATTTTTACGATTTATTCATACGTGATTTAGAGTTTAGTGCAATTTGTCATTGATTTGAAGTGCTAAGCAATATACTCAGTTACAAAAATAAAATAAAATATTATTAAATAATTAAAACTCTTTTGAAAGTAACCTCATAAACGTACATTAATTATAATGTGACTGAATTTTACAGAGTGAACTGCTTTTAGAAAGCCGATTAATTTTTTTGTTATTACAAGTAGATTTATTCGTAACAAGTTTGACATTTACTTTATTTCAACTCTAGTTCACTTTCAAACTATCTAACATCAAGCTTAAGTTGAATAAACTTGGTTAAAAGAAAAATTATACATTTTGTGAGTGTTCAATTAATTAAACCTTGAATATATAATGAATCAATTGAGAACAATGTTATGTAAAAGTTGTAAGTATTTCAAGATTCAAAAGCAGTGAATTTGTGTGGTCCTATGCTAATTATTCAGTAAACTGATTAGTATGATCAATAAATGAGTCAAACTTTATATCGATTCATTGATTGTAACACGAATTCATACCCTTGATGTACACTAAACATCTGAGAAACCTAGATTACAAAATGGGAATGGTGTTTGCTAAGTTTTACTTGATATGTATTACAGGAAGTAAAACTCTATTTCTAGTGAATAACTAGAGAAGAGAAGAGAAGAGAATTGATCCTAACGATTCAATTAAATTTTATTGTAAATGGAATATAAATACATTTAGATGAACATATAAGGCCTCACTTATTTATTTCATCAATTGTGCTTTATTCATAATAGACAACTTCGAAGACAACAATTAATTTATTACAATATGATCTGTCTGTTTTAAAATAAATAGGTGTCCTATGTTTTTTAGTTATATTCATTGTGCAGTAGCGACAAATTTAAGACGAGTCAATCTATAATTAGCTCTATTCAAACGGTAATTACATCTTCAGGGAGTCTTAAAGTAATTTTATCGTACACGTTAGTATGTCATCTTTTATGTATGTCATGACACCTTCGGACGTAAGTGCAGGAAATATTTTTTCCTATATTTAGGAACCTGAGGAAATGTATGAAATGGGCTTTTCTTGTCTAATTATCAGCCCTAATGGAATTTCGTTAAACCGGTTAAATGACATCATATAAATTTGTTATTTTGGATAGTAAATTGATGACTAGATCAAAAGAAAGGTATAAAAGGTACACTTAAAATTCATGATAATTGACTTTGGTTATTTATTTACTATGAAGAAGTGATTTACCTTAAGTTTTGAAATGTCAGAATTTCAAGTTTGTATCCATAAGAATAATGACAAATACATCATTACTTTGTTAATGATATCCATATTTTCATTATAGGATTATGAAAATTGTTGAGTTTCACTGAAATCATGAATCGATCGACGCTAAACCACCATTAGAAACCTGGAAGCACTGAACGGCCACTTCGTTCCTAGTATGTCACTCATCAATGGTTCCAGGTGTGTAATGGTGGTCTAACATTGATCGATTCATGGTTTCAATGCATATATTGTCATTTGTTTGTATAAGTCATTCTGGTATGGAGGCGATATAAAAGTGCTTACCTCAAAAAGAAAACAACTGTAACCATCCAAGCGCCTAACCAAAAGAAATTTTGTCCAAAAAATTTACAAAACGCCAATGGGACAGAATTTCTGGTGAATCGCCCAAGTGAATATTCCACAATAAGAATGGGGATAGACCAAAAAAATAGGATTAAAATCCATATTATGTAAAATGTTAATGCACCTAAAACATAATAAAATGCATAAATAACAGTTATTCAAAAATTAAAATCGTATTCAAACACAAAGCTGAGCGAATTGAAAAAATTTTATTTTGAAAAAAATTCCCACTAGATAATTCGCCTATGAGTTTTGATACATGTTTGTAATGACTGACTTCTTGTTGTCGGATAAGTTGGAATAAATCTGAATTCAGCCATTTTCAATAGGCTGCTTAAATGATGCCGCAAGTTTCCGATGAGATGAAATTCATTTTACAAGCTTATTCGTTACATATGTGCAAATCAGTAATTATTTTATAAAACAAACTGATATATATGAACGTCATTTGCAAATTATATTAATTATGAAAACAAAGTGGTTAACGATAAAAATTATTAACCCTGGATATGATCTTGGACCAAGAAAATAAATAGGGTACTTAGAAAATTTCAAAACTGCAAAGTAAAAGTGTGATGATACAAGTTGTTCATTGATTAAGGCTCACGTTTCAAACAGAACTCATCAGTTTGATTTACTTTCTCAATTAGATCCTACTAATAACATGTTTGATTTGGTCTTCATGGACAGATTAACACTCATTTAAAATGAATTTCATTTAATTTCATACATTTTATCCCACCTATATATATATATATATATATATATATATATATATATATATATATATACATCTGTACAGATATAAATTTTAGAGAACTTGGTATTTAGAGTAAATGTTATAACGTGATATATTAGTTGAGTTACAATGAAATTAAAGTTAAGTAGGGTTATTCAATATGTAAACAACAGATTTTCAGTCCAGATATTTGATATTTATTCTAAAATGCGCGGTATACTGTGTTAACTTACATAAGAACTGTAGTGATATGAGATTTTTGTGGTGTTATGTTCTATGATAAAGAAGTTTTGGTTGAGGAGATTTGTGGTTATGAACAATATCTTCAATGTCTACTTGTTGTATCAGTCTGCTTATTAATTATTCCACAAGTGTCACGTCAGTTCGTTTAGATGACAGTGTTTCAGATTAGTAATTTTTCAGACTTCTTTTCCTTCGTTTATTCTCATATTCATGTCGACCGTGTTTATCAACTGATCTCTTGCCTGGTAACTAGGCTCATAGAGCGGATTTATATCACTATGAAAGTTGGTTACTAATTTATTAAAATGTCATGCCTCCTACAAATTCTCTGCCGATTTCAAATTTCTCTCCATCCATAATTTCGACACTACAATTGATTCCATATCTACGCTTGCTTATGTACATGGATATCTATGATTCGTACTGACTGTATAAGAATACTTACCGCCAGAATGGCTGTTAGTTGCTAAAACACGTGGAAAGCGCCAGATATTTCCCGTACCGACAGCACCTCCAACACACGATATGATTCCACCAATAGCAGATTGGAACATAGACTTTTCTCCAGTAACTTGCAGTTTGATAGATGAAGAGGATGTAAAGGAGGTGTTATTTGCATCCTACAAGATAGTGATTACAGTTCCAAAATGTAATTGTTTACTTAAAACCATTCATTGTTAAATCAAAATGTGCAATGTGCATGAAGCTGACTTCAACCACTACACTGAAATTCAAAGTTAAATCTACTCATCGCTTCAGTCCTAAATGGAGTTTAGAAGGATAGTCTAACTTCATTGAGGTCACTAGCCTCGAAAACTGTTGTAAACCTGGTATTACTGGAAAGCTGTTCAACCTTGTACCATACTCCTCAACAGTTCGCATCCCCAAATCTGCATTGAAGAGTTATTGAAAATCAAACTACTCATTTCAATACATACGAAAGTTGGTGCTAACAAAATATACAATAAAGATCTAGTTTCCTCAGCAGTCATCGAATTATTGATCCAGTTAATTTCCTTTTTTCTAATTCCAATATTTGCAACGATTTGTTAATATCCCTATTAATTTTAGGAAATTTCGTTAAATATAATGTGTCCTAATGGCAGCATAAAATAGTATATCTTTACTTTTCTAAATTTTTCTTAATTTCGAATGCAATACACCAATTAGCATTCATCGTTCTTCACAATTATTTAAATTTTTTGGATGAATTAATAGATCCTAACATTTCTATCCATTTGCAGATAACTGTTGTGTGGTTATACGGATAAAATGAATGAATATTTACTAGTCACAGTTCGTTGTTCCTAATGTTTTCAGTCTTAACGCGTTTGATTAAGAAAAATGGTTTCTGTCACTTTCCTAGCATCAAATAATCAATAATCGAACAGGGAAATTCTGGTCTTTAAGTTTATAAACACCATCAAAGTGTATGATCTACATAAAACCACAATAATACAATTGAGCATGAAAATTTCTACCATTAAATGTATTGAGCCAATCAATCACTAATAGGCAGCTGTTCTGAAAGTTACTTTTACCATGAACTGTTACCGATGAATCAATCAACAAAAAGTAATACACATTAAATGACGGTTGTACATCATTCCGATTTGCTTTCAAATATATCAATGATATATTATACTGAATTCGATAACATTATTGAATCTACTTGTTCAACAGTTTGAAAAGTGTCACGCCAACAGAAATGAGAAAGATATAATGGGTGGCTTACAAAAAAATCCCTTTATGATTATGGAAATTGTGATATTTTAATATCATTATTAATTCATAGACAAAATACATTGGACGAGGGACTTTTACAAGATTAAAATATTATGGACTGACAATGACGTAAAGTATGTTATTTAAAGCATCAACAAATTAAGGTCAGTTAGAGCATTAGAGCATATGTGGTCACTTTGTTATATCGTAAACCATGACACTTAGGTATCCGGTCCTGAGTTTATTTAACTTACTGCGGTAAAATGCACAGATAGATCATTAGAAAACTTTATAAAGTCAACAGCAACTCCGAATAATTAATTAGTGGGAATTAATGGGAAGAATGATTATTAACTGAATATCTTTTATCACATCGATACTCAATATGAATATAGTAAATGTCACAACAAAGTTTAAAAAATTTCCATAAACAACGAAACTGAGAAACGGATGATGTTCATTTACGCCAAAATACATGGAAGTTTTTTTAAAGCTGATTAGATTATTCATCAAAGAATTATATCGGCACCTTAAAGATGAAAACAGACCATGAGAACTACAAATTGTATTGTCAGAAAACTAAAAATCCAACTACATTTTCCATGTACCATCCATAATCTAACATAAGTAAGTATCAGAGATCTTGTTGTACGATATAGGTTTATATCTTAAGGATTCGAAAGACAAAATTAAGTTCCACAACAAATTTAAGCGATAAATTAAATAACCGACATTGTACAATTACTCTTTAACCAGAATAATGTTTCCTATTTCATATTAAGTTCCAAATATATAATTTTCAATACATTGTAAATTATGTTACATTGAATAACGATTACATAAAATATTTATTGACTACAATTTTTAATAATGCTGTTATGAGAAAGACTATATCGGAAGCAGTTTGCTTCTTGGGCGAAATTTACTCAAATATAATCTATTTATTTGGTCCTACTCAAGATGAAATAGGTTTTTGTGACTGAAAACCGATTGAAAGTTATCTTTCTTTGGGCGTATTCTAGTAAAAGTCAAAATACAGTGTTTAACTGGAGGAAACATCAAAAGATAGCGCAGTCAATTATTGCTTGGGTGACTTGAATTTTAAGGCATATCCTACCTACTTTCTATTTGGAAACAACTTCAAATCACTATGGTTTATACATAAAGTGCTAAATAAATCTGAATATATGAATCCATGCTTGAATACTGAGTTGTATGAAAGTGAAATATTGAACAAATATTTTGAATTTTAAACGTACTTGTGAAATAATTTCATTGTGAATAGATTTGTCCGTATTGTTATTTACATTATTTGATGCTTTTTCATCATTCACAGTATTTAATGATTTAGTCATTTCTGAAATAATAAAAATGTAGAAGAAATGAACACCTCTCTTTATATTACAAGATAATTAGTGCATACATTGTACTGTTCATGCTATTGGTTAGTCAACTGTGGTGTAAAATAACTCAAATAGGTGAATAAAATCTACATTGTAGCATATATATATATATATATATATATATATATATATATATATATATATATATATATATATATAAATTAAGTACGCCAGAGATTGTAAAAGTATCTAGGCAATGAATTATTTAGGCTGTATAATAACCTCATTATGGTTGCCTCTTTTTTGTTAGTTGAAAGCTTACTTACTTTACGTTCGGATTAATTGGATTTTGTTATTTTGATCTTGAAAAATTAAAAGTTGTTAGTCATTAATGGAAACTTTACAAACCAAAATAAATTATCGTCTTTTCGCTTGTCAAACGAAAAAGGAAGACTACACTGTATGCAAAGATTTAATATTTATTTTCATTGTCGATTTTAACAAAACTAATTTCTTCTTATCTTAGTCGGACATGATCATTGAGGAAATTCATTGCTAAAAACACTCCTCGTTCCAAAAACTTTCTAAAAATTTCAGAACACATTTTGGTAGGCATTTTCGAAGAATAATCTAAATTCAATACGTTTTACGAGACTTTATCACCTGTCAACAATATTCATAAAATTAACAGATTGTATGTTTCAGCCTGAAAGATAACATAATGTTAGATTTCGAAAACTAATGACCGTGATTATTTGAAATGTTGTAGATAATTGATAAAACTATCAATAAATTTAAGTATCATATGGATAACATAGAAAATCCGAGAGAGAAAAATTAGATGTGAGTTACATCATGACTCTTTTGCAACTGTTATGGCTGGAACAGATAAGATTCCTTGCATCGTTACGATGACTACATATTTACAACTCCTCTGTAAAAGCAATAATTCATTGTGCATAATTGCTCCACTCCTGGAGAGTATCACAGTATATCACACATTAGCCAAAATCGAAACTGTACCATTAGACATCAGTCTGGCGGTTGAGGCCTCTACTTTGAGTTCTTGATATTCTGAGTTCTGTTCAATTTAGGGTCATGGATGTAAACCAAGGAGTTACGTAGTAGAAGGAAGTAGTTCAGTGTTTTCTTTAGTTTTTGACGCTGCCTCAACTGGAATCATATCTATGATGAAAGCCCCCTTCAACTAAACATTTTAATCAAGGCTCTTATCGTTTAATTTTGTTGCCTGAGAATGTAGTTCACACAAGTTCACTAAATTTCTAACTTCATTTACTTAACTAACCTTAGATAATAATATCTGTAAGGCATGTCAATAGACTTTGTTTGGCATATGATGTTGGATAACATGATTTTATTGATTCATTTATTTTCTATTATTATCGCGTAAACACTAAACAATAACAACTTTTCTAGCCAATAAATTAGATTTCATCTAAAAGCAAATAAGATTATTTTGGCTATCCATAGCAAAAGTATTGAATTGTAAAAGAATAAAAAGGTGACATTTTTGAAAGTACATTTTTTTTTTATACGGAAAGAAATAATTAGCTATTTCAAACATTATTTTTCTGCTTGGCGTATAATCAAATTATTATTACTGAATAGTTTACTTATGATATCTGATTTTAAAAAATAGTTAATGAATGGAATTTTTAAATGAATGCAATTTATTGATCAACAGAATGAACGTAAATGAATGAGACACTAATGAACTTAGTGTTGGCACATTAGACAGCCTTCTTAAATTAAAATAATTTGTAAATTTAAAACGCAGTGCATCAGATGAGCATAAAACTAATCAGTAAAACAACATTAGTAATAATTCACTTCTCCGGCAAACAAATAATCAGTAAAAACAAGTTACTTAACTATAATCTTCAAGTTCTATGACATAATGTAATGAAATCAAGAAAAAGTAGAGAACAGACAGCTCATTTTGAGTTGAGTTTTGTTTAGATCATATAACTAAATCACTCGGTGTTCCCTACCGTTTCAAGACTTATGCGGCTTACTGCGATACTACCAATCAGCTCATTTAGGAAACTAAAAGAGTTAAGTTGGTTAGGGTTTGGTATATCTGATTGTAATACTGTTAGAATGTGCACTGTCTGAGATCTGAACTCAGTACATGCTGACTCCCTTAATACTGGCGTCCCGGCTACCTCTGATTGGCTCTTTATGTTGGAAACCAGTTTTCTGGAGGCCTTCTTTCATAATTACTTTCAGAGTTTTTAAAAATAAATCTGGATAATTATTAGTTCTATATGAACGTTTCGAATTTTATACACGAAACCTATCACTTATAGTTTTAGAATACTTACTAACTTGTCGTTATGAAGAACTAACAGAATTTATTTCAGTCCACCAGATAGGGAAAGTCTAAATATGTACATTATTCATACGAAAGTAGTTTAGTGGATATGCAATATTTTCCAGTTCTGACATATTATATAATTCAACACTCAATTTTCATCAGATTGCACTTCAAATATTTTCTCTTGAAAATCGGCCATACTAAAATTCAGTCATAAACAATATCTGTTTATTTAAGTAAACCTGTAATAGTTCTTTCTAAACGAAGAGTGCTTTTGAGTAATAAATCTATTTTGTGTGCTTTTAATCAACTTGAAAGAATTATGTTCTTCATCATCGACCATCGTCAACTTATCCAATGTTGCCAATAAATTAACGATTAACGCATGGTAATATTTTACCACTCCAAGTTATATATATTGATTCTAAAAATTAATTATTGTAAGTAAGCTTAACAGTTATATTATTTCTAGAAAGAGATCGCCGTAGTTACTCTAAATACTATCTTTTTCCAAAATTAAAATATCCTTTTCGTCATTTATGAAACTGAATATGTTTCTAGAATGCTTCTGGATGATTTCATGATTCATAAGTAAGTTGTACAGAGTAATGTTTAGAACGGCAAACCTAATGTCGATGACTCGATTAAGTCCAAAATAATCACAAAATCAGACGGACATATTATGAATAATTTCACAAATTTGGTGTGATAAACCAGGAATGCTGATCATCTGTGGATCAGTGAAATTGAAATATCTGCGATTATGTGGGATTGTGTTAAAGATTCATTCTGAAATTAGACAACATTGGCAAAAAGTACATAAATACTTGTTAATGCTGATTGCATCTGTAGCAGTGTATCACTTAACTCATGAGGTTTTACAATGTCTGCTTAATATCAAAAGCGCTCTCCTTTTATTGTTACACACGAGTTACTTATTATCATCAAGTAGTATGAAGTACAACGTAAAGTTTTTGTTACTTTTCAAGCTCCTGTCTGAAATTCAAAACATTTATCCTTTATTTTTTTAAGATGCTTGGTGCACATCGTATGATATCTTTCAAGTCTGCTGAGTGTAGAAATAGAAAAGGGCTGAAATAGATGTTTCCAATATTTAGTCGCTCAATAAGTATCAATATATCTGAGTAATTCTTTTTACCATAAATCGGTAGTCTTAGAGAACGTACTTAGTAATCTCAGAATCTGAAGTTTGCCACTTCGATCCAGAACGTCCGAAAATATCTTGACAAGCTGTCTCAACAGCTTATTTAGTGTATCAATACTCTGATTATCTATCTTTTATTAAACATTTAAATGTTAGACTAGGTACTATTTCAAAAAATTCTACTAATGGAAATCGATTGCATCAATCTTAGTACTAGTGATCATGTGACTGATTTTTATTTTTTTTTTCAAATTTCTATCAGATATGAAATTTATTGATATACTGTTGGTCTGAATAGATTAGTGAAATGTGAAAATTAACTAAATAAAATAACTCGGTAGAAAAACATCGGTTACTTCAGAGCTAAAAGATAGACTATTGATCCAAAGAAAACATTCGAAAATGCGCTAAGTCTCCTTTAAGTGAGTTCATATTAAATACCAATGAACCATGGTCATATTTTTAGAAAATATCTAGTCTAAATGTAATAATGCACAAACAGAGCTCTACTGGCTATTACCATGATACCAAATGTTTATACATTGTTATTACATTAGATGAACTATTCAAGAAATAACCAATTTACCTTGCATTTTATAACAGCTAATGAAATTCGGTTAAACATAGTTACATATTTGATGTTAGCTAATGTTAGAATATACAGAACTAAATAAAGCATAGCTCATGGAAATCCAGTCCAAAAGTCAATTTAGCTCATGACGTTTATAATAAAATTCACATGTATCAAGTTAAATAGCACGTGTCTTTGGAATAGAAAATCAGCCTTACATTAATATAGTTTTCTACCTGTTTCTTCTTTCAGTCAAAATCATTCCTCAAAAATGGGATGCGGATATGCTGATCAAAAGATAACAACATTTTCAATGTTTTATATTCTATTTTACTAATCAGACAATCATGATCGAATTGTAACTTTCTATGTTCAAGTTTTGTATCAACTTCTGAGAAAATGTCAATTATTGATTAACATAAAGTACAACGGTTATGTATTATGTTTTGATGTAGATAGCTCAGAATACTTCTATTCGTGTTATGTACCAACAGTTGTCATGCTTTTACCCTCAAATAATATAGTCAGCAAATGTCACGAAATAAACATCATGTTGTTCGTATGTCTATTCCAATGCTATGCTAGATGACAGCGTCGCTTACACTCATTTCTAAAAATCAGTAAATGTTACTTATCAAACTAGTTATCAACAACATATCATTAAAGTATTTCCAAATTAAGCACTAGTCAACGACAGCAACTGATTTTTATCAATTTGTTTCTAATATCTAAAAAGCTTTGTCTTGTTAAGTAAATTGTATATGATGTTACATTTTCTCATCATAATTAGACGAAATTATAGCATTAATTATCATTGGGTGGAAAACTGGGTCGGGTAAAAGACATACCATCATTTCTGAATAAGTTTTGCATGTGAAGTTGTAAATATTTCTCATTAGTCATGAGATGAGCATCCTTCTTGCTTTATTTTCATATACAATAAGTGGTAATCATTATACTATTGTTTTTTTCAAGACTAGTTTTGCTTAAAATATTCTTATTGTTGTTTTAAATACTATCACGTAATCCATCGATGAATTATCGCATATTGTTTGCACAGAATGAAGTGTTTCACCTTAGACCGGAGGATATTAACAATATACCCTGAATAATGTATTACTTCATTTATCTATGAAGTAAACAGTTTTTGCGTCAACATTATCAGGAATAATAAAGGCTCTGTTGTTGATTATGAATCTTCTAATTTATTCTTTCAATACTGAATTATAGATTAATTTTAGCGAAACTAAATGGAATTACGTGAAGAACTATTTATTTTCAAAAAAAATGAAATATTTTATCATTCAACAGAACCAGTGATGAAATATATTCTATTTGTTTTGATTATTGTACTTATGTTTGGTCACTGAACACAATATTGGTGGTGCAGAACAAGACCGAGACGATTTAATCCATTCGTATGCTGGGTTCAAATATTCAGTGGATGATGGAAGTGATGCTTCAGAGACAGATTCATCTCCTGTGAATTCAAAGGTAAAACAAACACATCAACTTAATGTTGAGCATTTTGATTGAGAAAATCTAAATTTGAAAATTAGATCCTAACGCTTAACAAATTAGTTTGATAGAATGACTCTAATTAGGCCAACAAAAAACTGTAAAAATACTAACTGAATGATTTCTGCTTAGTTAAAAATCTGCTAAGATCGATTTATATTCATGGTTTGTTGACATTGCAAATCATTTTAATGAACATTTCGAATTCAGCATCAAGTAGATTCATCAAATTGAAATACGATTGTGTATCTTAGCAATCACAACCACAAAATATGAATAAAACATATCTATCTTTCACATAACATTTTGTTTAAACGGACATGAAGACATTTAACAACCTGTGAATACAATTTATGTCTTAAATGTAATACAAAGAGAAGCACACCTTGTTAAAACTATTCTCATGATATTTCTATGATAAAATTTGTTTTCAAAATTATCATCATTGGTCTTTCCGAACAGGTCAACTGGCCTTCAGCCACACTTCGGTTTCCCAGGATCTCCAGTTTTCCTGAATGGGAAACCGACATAAGTACTCTTAGTCTTTATGAATTTGGGTAAGCTATAGGAAATCTGAAGCAAGATAGAGCAGCAGGTCCTGCAAGACAAACTCCTGAGATTTTTAAGGATGGTGTTACAGATTAGCAGTTAGATTGACCGAGATCTCAGATAGAATCTGGGGACTGGACGCAATACCATCTGACTGGTCTCAGTTGCTAATTGTCCCAATCTACAAGAAAGCACAAATGTCTTGTGATAATCACAGGGGAATCAGGCTAACTAACATAGTTTTTAAATTGTTAGCCTCGATTATACTTAGACGCCTAACGAGAGCTCGTGAAGAGCAGACTAGAGAAAACTAGGCTGGTTTCCAACCTGGAGGTGGCTGTATAGACCACATCTTCACACTACGACAGGTCCTGGAACTCAGACACACATTTAGACGTCCGACAGTAGTTGTCTTCCTGGACCGTAGAGCGGCATTTGGCTCTGCCGATCGTGAGGTTCTGTGGCAGTGTCTGTCAATGAAAGGTGTACCAAAGAAGTACATTAACCTTATAAAAGTTCTCTGCTCGAACACTACTGGTCGAGTAAGAGCTTATGGTAAACTGTTATCGGAATTGATCACTTCAAGTAGTATCCGTCACGGCTGTCCACTCTCCCCATTCTTCTTTGATTTTGTCGTAAACATGCTTTTAGAGTTAACATTATCCTCGTCAGATTTTTCAGAGGTGGACCTTCTACCAGGAGGATCGCTTATTGACCTAGAATATGCCGATGACATAGTTCTGTTTGGTGCAGACGCTGACAAAATGCAGAATCTTCTGACTACCCTAAGCAACAATGCAAGCATGTTCAGAAGGCGGTTCTCAACCTCGAAATGCATAATGTTGCTTCAGGATTGGGTTTCATCAGTACCTAAAATAGTGATGGGAGTGAAGTCGTTGATCGACCACTTCACTTATCCTCGGAGTTTTATCGGCGCTGATGGCCTGGTGACTGACGAAATCTCAACACAGATAAAGAAGGGTCGATTGGCTTTTGCCAACTTGCGTCACCTATGGCGTAGGCGAGATATCCGTTTGCTAACCAAAGGTCGAGTGTACTGTGCAGCTGTTTGCTCTGTTCTCCTATTTGGATGCGAACCATGGCCGATAAGGGTACAAGATATTCGTAGGTTACTAGTATTCGATCATGGATATCTTAGAAGCATTGCTTTTGTATCAAGGGACACCCGAGTATGCAATACTGCCATTAGGAATCGAGTGCTAGGTGAGAATGGCAGATCAATTGATGAAGTTGGGTGAAAACTAAGGGCGGCCAAGACAAAACATGGCAGTAATCCATGAAGTCACTGAGTAATGTTGGTAGATGTTGACTACCTGGTCGGGGTCCGCGAGTCGAAAGTCACCGATGGTTAGAGAGAGACCTTGAACGACATGGCTCAGAATAGTTTGCAATGGCGCAGGTGCATCCACTCTTTTTGTTCTCTCAAATCCTAATTTTCTGGATTCGCCATCACCTCTTTCCAAACTTATCTCACTGAATTATACTTCTTGAATATTATATTCAAATTCCAATCTTCTCCATTAGCAGTAATTCTTCTACTATCTCTACCACTATGTGATTTGAATTGACAATGGCGTCTCTGTGCTAATGTGGGATCGCAACCTGAACTGATGTACTTACGTACGAAGTTGTACGTCGTAAATGACTGACTGACTGAGTCTTTCCGATGAAAATAACAGCTTTTGACAGTTAATTACGATCAATTTCAGATTACACTTTAAATCGATACATTCCATTCAACAGTAATTGTTTTAACATTATGATAGTTAGTGACTTTATAACTCACAACTTACCGATATCTTCATCATCGGAGGTAAAGTAGTAAGTAGATGAAAATAAATCAGATTCAGTAGCATTTAACCGTTGTAATTCATCAGGATTTTTACATACGAAAATCTGACTGCATGTTGAACAGTACAGGTAGATCGTTTGTTCAGTTAAATTCGATGAATCACTGAAAGTATATCTATCTTCAAATCTTTTTAAGAAATCTTCACCGAAATCATGATAGCTTTTGACTTCATATTCCGAAGTGCATAATGATTTAAGTGATTCTGATGAGCTTAAACACTGACTAATTGATTCAAACTGATATTTTGGAAGTTGCTCTAAATTAGGAGTCATTTCATGGTTTTCATTTTTCTTCTGAGTTGTAATTTCTTCTTCCGTATATTTAATATTATTTATATCACAAATACGTCTTGCTAACACAGGCAAGATGAATTGATCGAATTGTTGTTTCCAGAGATTTTTCAGTCGTTTGAATGAACATCTATAAATACGTTGAAAAAATACATTGAACTTGGAGTAAATATGGTCATTTAACATGTAACCTGAAGAGTAACATTTAAAAATGAAATCTCGTAAAAACTATTAAATTTTATTATGAATGTAATTAATTAAGTTCGCAATAGAATAAGCTACAGAGTAATAATGTTTCATATCTTCTTTCGAAGTACAGATTTTATTTGATTTCAGAAGTGACTAATAATATGAGAGAGAGACGATTTGATCAGTTTCAACAGTTTTACAATACGTTTAATTTCATGAAACTCAACACTTGCACTTGTGAAACATGTCGCATTATTGTATTTAATTTAATCATAGGCTACAATTATTTGTAGTTCAACGACATAATTGTACTTTTATTTAATGTCCAATTAGTTTGAATGATTTCATATTTTTCGAAGTTGTTCCAGTTTGAAACACAAAAGATCTAATGGGTAATAAGTTTAGAGTATAATTTATGTGACTATGATCTTCTGAATGTTTTTGAAAAAATCAGCTGTTGTTTCTAAATGCAGGTTACTTGATAAAAAAAATCCAGTTTTCAAATAATTAACGAAAACAATTTACCTGTAAAGAATACAAGCCCGGTACATTGAAATTATGAATCGCTTAATGTTAAGACCACCATTAGGAACCTGGAGGCGATGGATGGCCGTTTCGTCCAAGTTCCCATGCAAGATTGAAGGGCTTGACTTCGATCGCTATGGAAATCCACTGAAGACGAGTCATAAACTGGGACAAAATGGCCGTCTAGTACTCCCAGGTTTCTAATGGTGGTTTCGTGATTTAAATGAAACTCAACAATCTCCCTAACCCTATAATAACAAGTCACTTAGGTTTGGTTCTTTGTAGACGTTTATGGTATGTACTTTACATGCTTGTTAAAGTTCAGATTAACGCGTAACATTCACTTCTGATCAAAACATATTAAAAACATTGCAAATTTATTATTTTACTTACTTACTCATTTTTATGCATTTCATGACGTTGTAAAATACACGATTGATTCGCATTATCTGAGAATAACATAATTATAAGGAGTTATATAGATTGATAAAAAGTGAGGACAACACTAGTTCGTTCTTCTATTGGAAACACATTTGTATTTGTATGCAAAATCAAACAACTGATCTGTGTAAAACTACAAAGTTATATTTTAAGTATTAACTTAATTATCGTACTTTATTTATTATACAAAGCTCGTCTAAGACTATTAGGAATGATTTCGGTGTTGAAAAATTCGTATTATTTTCTAGTGAATGATTTGCCAAAACAACGATTTTCATCATTAACAGACAAAATGTTATCATCTCATGGGTAATGAAATGGTCTAACATTAACCAAATAATTTCATAATGTTCAAGAGTAGGATACGAATTATACATGAAAAAATGATCGTTTGATCTCGAACTTGATATTTCATTTGTATCTTGTCCTGCTTAAGTTAATTTGAATCATGTTTTCAGATCGAACGTTTTGACCGTTAAAACGCATCCATTCATATCGAATTTGTTCAGTCTTAGAAAGAAATAATGATTATGTAGTGAGTAATACTTCACCCATATATTTAGTATTATAAATTCATAACCAGTACAGAAATAAGTGTTTACATTATATCCAAGTTGTGTTGCGAATAACAGCACAGTAGTGTAATTATTCAGTGATACAAGAGCTTCTCTATCAAGGAATATAGAAGATTGGATGGAATACAATATCTGTTGTATCCTAGTGTAAGACACATCTCAAAATGACCACCTTATGTTAGTATGAATGAGTTAAAATCCATCGGTTCGATTTTTCGTCTTGAATTGATAGCACTCGTCTAGTATTAGTTGTGCATAACCATCTTATTCCCACAACGATTGAACTATATTGTCAAATGTCTTGATATTTTTTAACAATTGTCCAGATGATACCAGCAGCTAACTTGAATCATCAACTAGACGTAACTCAAGTTTTTTATTCAAGCTGAACTTTTTGGACTGTATGAACCACTGTTATGATGAAATTATTTATATCTATGTTTTATAGGGAGTTCTGATAACTTTAGCATGGTATTTTGAATTCCAGTCTTGATATATCAAAATGGAAAAATGATTATTCACTCACTGAAAGGTAGCACAAGTTTGTACTTCTCAAATAATTTAAACGATGTATTGAAACAATTCACATGTCTGTTGTGATTCATATGGCAAGTATCTAAGTGTATAGTCTATGTTAGATACAAACAAAATAAACAACTATTCAATGTTGAAAAACCTTTAATAGGTTTCCCGAACTCCTCCTGTTTATTATGCCTTTTCGTTTCAGCCGACCGACCTAAAGGAAACTTTTTTTGTTGTAGAATATTTTTACTCTGGATTCTATTTATATTCGATCGATTTTGAGCTCCGTTTCTTTTGTCAACATGTTTTTTAGCACAAGTTGTTGAACGTTTTCTAAATGAAAAATAGCGCACTAGTATTAAAATAATTACCTTGGTTTGTTTGAACTCTCTAGCTTCACTGCGGTTATATCGAAATCTCTCAAATGATTTGCCTACAAAATCATCGAAAACAAAACGTTTCTGATTGGTTTATTGCTCAACAAGTTGAATTAAATATTACCGAAACATTGTATACAGTTCACATTCTTCGTGTTATCTAGTGAACAAAACCAATCTTACCATATTTGTAAATAAAAATATATGGCCAGATTTTTTTAGAAAATCCATCTTCCTCAGGACACAGCAAGCAAACCATAGAAATCCATTCATTCATAAATTTTTCACTGCATTTTTAAAAGACGCAACATAGCAAAACTAATCAAGTCGTAAATAGAACAGTAGTAATATAAGGATGATATTTCTAAAATGTATAAAATAATTATTAAACGATTCATGTGAGATGATTATTGCCGATTATAAATATGACAATGGGTTGTTTCTTTATAATAGAAATTATGAAGATACTGTCAGGTTTATCAACAAATTTATTCATCATAAAAAGAAATATAGCAATTTCATGATATAGAGCAAAGTGAGTAATTTTAATTCTAAATTAATATAAGTGTATGCGTACCGGACAAAAATCAATACTTTTTGTCTGAACATTTGTTTTGTTGGTGACTTCTTCGACTCCGGATATTTTCTATCGATTAGCTTCTAATTGAACGATAAGTTTTCCTACACTGCATATTTCACAGTAAAATTTATGTGAACCAAGCAATAAACTTTATATCTTTACATTAAATCCTATCAATCAAATAATCCATAATATGAAGACTGATTGATTAGCTGGAAAAAACTTAGAAAACATATCAGTTGTTACACCCTACGCATAATTTTACTCAGTGAAAGAAACATTGGTTTGTATTATACACATACTTAAGCAGGAAAAAAAAATTTTCAAAAAATCATTGTCTTATAACAGCAATATAGACTAACTTTTGCATTCATCCAGTTGTATAAAACAAGTTTAGTCGATGTTGATTGAATGTCATATTTTGTTGCAATAAATTGTTTATGTAGACGCTTTTTTCTAGTATACATTCCAATATATATTTATATATGAATATGAATATGACAACATAAACCGTAATTAATCGTAACTTGACTCATTCATTATTTGACAGGAAAAATAAATTGTTCTTTAATATAAGTTATATTTATTTGTTTTAATTTGTGTTTATATAATACAAGCATCAATTAAAGTACAATTTACAAATATGAGTATTCCAATCAAATGAATTTATTAATTATTATTAATTATCACAATATCACTGATCACCTGCTATCATCTAGTAATTGTACGTATTGTAATTTACTGAAATCTCATAAAATAGCAAGTGTACTGTAGCTTTCATTTGTTCACAGATTATGAAATGGGAATAATAAAGATATTATTTTTCTAAATATGTTTGTTTACTGATCAATATTCCAGTGTTAAATATGGTTCACACTAACAGTATTGGTTTTGAGAAAGACATCTTATATGGATCTTTAAAAACCAATGTATTTGTTGTTGATTAATTCAGTCAGTATATAGGTTTCAAAAAGATAGTTAATCTAAAGAATGATATATCATGAGTGAAAGTCACAGTGTGTTGAAAATGTAAGTGAACATCGATGTTCTTTCATGAAGCCACTGGTTGTAAATAGAAGCCTCCATCAAACCAAGCCAGTTTTATTATATCTTAGTACAGTGATGCAGCTGAACGATCTAGACTTCGCAGATGATCTGGCTGTTCAACCGCACACGCAACAACAAATGCAAGAGAAGATGACCAGTGTAGCAGTAGCCTCAGCAACAGCAGCTCTCAACACAGATAAAGAGAAAAGCAAGATCCTCTCATACAACACAACATGCACCAACCCGATCACACTTGGCGGAGAATCTTTGGAAGATGCTCTATCCTTTACATATCTTGGCAGCATAACTGATGAACAAGGTGGACCTGTCGCAAGTGTGAATGCACGGATCAGCATTTCTACAGTTTAACAATATCTGGAACTCTAAACAGCTTTCGACAAACACCGAAGACAGCATTTTCAGTCTAAGAGTTAAGGCAGTTCTACTGTATGAGGCCGAAAGTTGGAGAACCATGAAAACCATCATCTAGAAGACACAAGTATTTTTTGACAGTTGTCTTCGCTAAATACTTCTAATCCGTTAGCCAGACAACATCACCAATAACCCACTGTGGAAAAGAACGGATCAGATTCCATTGGAGAGAGAAACTGGAAAGAAATGCTCGAAGTGGCTAAGACACACATTTCGGAAAGCACCCAACTGCGTCACTAGACGCGCCCTCACTTGACATCTCCAAGTTCAAAGGAAAAGTGGAAGACCAAACAACACAGTACACAGAGAAATGGAGACAGACATGACAAAAATGAAGAACAAGTGGATAATGCGAGTTCACCTTACACGGTAACGGAGCGAAGACAAATGATGCAGTGACACGATAGGCTATTCTAATCCGTTTTCCCCTGCCCAAGAAGTTTTAATATGGCGTAGAAAGGGTATTCTACAAACACCCAGAAAATGCGAGGTCAACAAGCACACAAATCGAGCTTATTTATACATGGTAGAAACATCCTTGGGAGAGCCACAAAATAGCGTAATAAAATAATACATCAACCAATGACAGTCAGGGATTTTCCGAGTGGGAAATGCAAACTGAATTTCAACTTAACAGCTTATGCTAGAAAACATAAACAATCCAAAATTAAGACCTTTCCAATGTGAGTTCTGGAGATCTAACGTCCCTAACAATATATATTTAAATATGTAATCAATTTATTATCCAGAAAAGTAAATCATACTAATTTTATGGTAATGGCTCTTGTTTTATCGAAGCCTAAGTTTCTCAAGATTCAGTGGAAATCCAAAAGATATTATATGGAAACCTAGATATTCCAACATTTTTATGTGCTTTCTTACAGAAGCCGATTGGGTGTTTAGAAATTCTGTGTGCAAAATTAATTTCTGTCAGCTAGATGATATGTATCATTTGCTGACTCTGTTGTTTACTCAAATAGTACAATCACTTTAATAGTCATCTGATCACCGAATAATATTTAATTTCTCATATATATGTCACATGACCTATCTAACCTAAACACTGTTCGATCTGTCAATTTTACTTTGATATATAAAAGTGTTGATTAACCCAATAGTTTTCGGATTTAAGTTAAAAATATTAATCAATGATTGTTAAAATGAAGTAAATTTGAAAATCGATTTATACAATGGTACTTTGTTAAGTTAAAACATGGAAGAAAACTGTAATATAAGATAACTATTAAACTGACACCTTTTGAAAAAAAGGATTAGCATAAAAAAGGTATCTAATATACATAGTTTATCCATATTCATTTACTTTTCAAAGTAAACAACAAGATCAGAATTTTTAAATATGCCATTTGCATAATCTTTAGTGTATCCGGACGTCTGAATCAATATGCAAAGTTGATGTGCAAATCAATTATGTTCGTAGTAACTATACCAATCCAAATTACCCCTAGATAAAAATCACATATATCTTCA